CAAAAACAAAAAAGAAAACAAAAGAAGATCCATTCTGCATGCTGCTAATTGCACAGTAGCTGGGACGCGCCTCACATCCAGCGCTGATGTCCTCACACGCGAGAGCTAGATGCTCGCAGGTCTTCTGGCGGAGGCGCCCCATCACCGAGCGGCCTGGCCTGCAACTCGCATTCCGCTCCTGACACTTTAGGTCACCCCATTTTCTGACTTTGATATCCCCCAGAAACCGTCAACATAATGACCCCAGTCTTAGCCAGGCCAAATGGCCCGCCACTCAACCAGGAAACAGTCACGTGAACGCTTATGAGCCAAGATACGGGGTTCCCGGCAAGTCGCTGATGTTTGTGGAAAACTGGACAAGTACTTCCGCCCCCCCCCGTCCCCCCAAATGGAGCCACTGGATATGTTGACTGAACCTCATGTGGGCCTATCCTTTGGAGGGTGCCCGTTTTTGCGTTGATGCCTTTAACAGGAAGGCAGTGGGTGGCCCGTTTTTCTCGTCACCCGCTTGGAGAGGTTCCCTTAAGCCACCACTTGGGGTGACTTTGATCATGGAAAAAAACACATGTGGCCAATAAGAGTTGCTTCGCTTTGATGGCTCAAGGGCGGCTGATTAGATCAGCCGAGTCATTGCTTCAACATGAGATCTGTCCAAATCGAATTCTGCTCAGACCAACTGAGGTCGCGGAATGGCAACATCGTTACAGCTGCAGGCGAAAGCGCGATGTGGCGTTCTTGTGGCAAGGGCCCGGCACAAACAGAGTGCATCGAAAGAGGAAGCCCCTGTTTCATGTTTCCGTGGAGAGTTTTTCTTTGCGAAGAGCCTGCAGATGCCAGGCACCATCATTGGAAGTGGCTCTCCGATGACAGGCACAGACGTCTTAGCACAACGCCACACGAGCCGCACCACATACACTCCATGCATAGCAGGCTCTCCAGACAGAATGGTCTATGGAAGTATGGGGAATGCTTGAGCTCTCCGCAGGCAAGAAGGTGGAGGATTCTGGCGTGCCCACGACGGGAAACCACACGGCACAGGCTCGGCATTTGTTTAGAGGTGCGTCAGTTTTACTTTGCACAATTCGAGGCAGCATTTGAGACGTTTGCATATCAAGCTGCGAACTTTCAGCCAACTTGTGAGGAGCTGGCACGCAAAGCAGAGGAGCAGTTGCATCGCATGCTGTCTTCCTTGTGCTTTTGCCATGAGTACAGCGCCAAGAAGTGAACTTACCAGCCGCGAGTCTTGAGCGAACCCACCAGAATCGCCGAGTCTTGGTTTGTTTGCGACCTGGCTGCCAGGATGCTTGGTGAGAGGAAAGCTGCGGCAGTGCGGGCTTGCTGCTTGGTAGCGTGATCGCATGCCCCAGTTATGCGTTATTTAGGCACGGTCTGGGCAACTCTGTCACTTCGATTGCCCAGATCAGCTGGAGAGCATCTCGGCTCTCGCATCTGTTTTTTGGTCTGGCGGAGGCTACAGAGACTGTCAGCCTTTGTTTGGACCCCATGCAGTGTGGGATCTCGCACGGACGGATGCGCAATCAAAACCTGACTGAAGGGGACAGTCCGGTGCGGTCGCGCTCAGTCTTGGCATTTGTTTTTGTAGACTCCTCTTGCACCAGGTTTTGATTGTGCCTCAGATGTGTAGCTGAGCCCTGCTTGCCCGCAAGGCGCCAAGAGCATGGGTGCGTTGCGAGAGCCAAACTGCATGCCACACGGAAGATGATCGACAGCTCAGTGATTCATCTTCCCTTCTCAGCGCGTCGGCTGTGAATCATCTTCCAGGTCCTTGGCGAAACATGTGCTGCTGCCCAAGTACACAGATCTTCGGCAATTCTATTCGTCCCAATCGGGACCACGCGAGGCTTTGGAGTGAGAGAGATCAACATGGCGCCTTCGAAATTCTTGAGAAAACAGACCCAAGCGGGTGCCGACTTAGATCCTACTCTCCAAGGCCAGGGCCAAAGTCTGGCCTCTTGGCTTTCGCCTGCATGGCGATTACGAAAGAGCCGCTGAAAAGGTTCCTTGTGGCAGCAAACATTCGGAACCAGCTGCCAAGTCAGCATGCCGGCATGAGTTGGAAGGGAACAACATGTTTTCGAAGCCTTGCGCTATCCACAGGCCCCCAAGAGAAATCCCCGGGCCTTTCGTTTTCGATGTTCCGGGTCAAAAATAGGGTAACCCCAAAATGGGTTGCCCTGGTAAATGGAACCAAGGACTAAAACCTGCGGTTCATTTCCTGGTGGTTTAATTTTGACCCACGCCCAAGTGTTGGTGCCTCGCCACTCTGGGCCTCGCCAGGCTGGCGCTCCAACATTTTCCCCAGTCGCCAGGCGAGCACCGGGGCTGGAGTTGATGGGCCATGCATCTAGGGAAGTTGTGGATCGGCCCCGACATCCAGTCAGGGAAAATGAAAGTCTGGTGGGACGCATGCCCTGATATGTTTCAACACAAGTCAGCATTAATTCCGGCCCCGCAATCCGGCATCGTGCTTCCAAACCAGAAGCACCACATGTCGGAGCCGACTCCCAGCCCCAGGACCTCAAGCGGCTGAATGCCACAAAGAAGCGACAGGAGCCAAACACGTCCATGCGTATGCCAAATTGGCAAAGCCGAAGCTCGAGGAAGTCTTCGTGCAGCTTGGCATCAAACCCTTCGTGTCCATTGAGTCCGTGAAACTGGAGAAGGTGAGAGGTGAACACCAGCTGGACCCTGGCGTACATGAGATCCCGAAATCGCATTCCTATGTGCCCCAACCCTTCGGTGCGCTCGTCAATGTCCACCTCCACTCCTTTGTCCAAGACTTGGTGGTTGTGCGATAGCATGCAGTTTCCATACCCCACGTGCCTGCCTTGGCCTTTTCATGTCCAGCATCAGTGGGGCGACTCCTTTGGCATCTCCCTTCTGGTTCCAGTCCCGATGCTTGCCTCGCACATGACATGGACCCCCCGTCCTTCGGAGCGCTCTTTGTGTCTTTCTGTTGGCATCCCGCGCTCAACTGTTTGCTGTTCCGGGATTGCCTGCTTTAAGCGTTACAAGTTAGCCCATGTAGCAGACGAAGGGCATTTGGTCCAGTGCTTTGCCCCCGTTCCCAGCTGTGACGCAGCACCCATTCTTAGCCACTGGACACATTTGTTCTTTTCGCAGATTCTCGCAAGCTTTGTGTGGATCACAACTTTACAAGGATTCTGATATTCTGATATAAGTCTAGCTCAAAGACACCCTGAAAAAGCCATGGATGGACACTCGCAACCAGTCAGCTGGGGCGATTGCTTGGCTTCTTGCCTGCCAGGCTCCAACGTTCCTTCGCTGAAGGGACCATTGCGGGCCAGTCGGCGCGGGCAGAGGGACAGGTGCAATGGACATGACCATCCACCAGGCACCGCATATGACATGTAAAGAATAGCGCATGTTTTTCGGGAGCAACAACGAGAAGGAATCGGACTTAGGAAGTTTTGCCGTCACGTTGACATGGATGGACACTGGACACCTGTAGCAAACTTAGGCCCATAGAGTCCCTGTGCCTCTTGCTTGACCTGAGTGAACTGCGGTTGATGTCGTGTTTCTTTTAGGTTCAATATTTGAGCGACAGACGCGGGTCTCGAGTGGCCTTCGAAGGAGGGGTCACTCGCTTCCGAGACAGAAAAAGACTCATGGCATCCAGCGCTGGTCACCGGAATGATACGGAACCCCGCGTGCCTTGCGAAGGCAAGGACATATTTTGTCCGCATGCTGGCTATAGAAGCCTGGCCCTTTGTGTGTCAAAACGGTCTCATCCCGTGGCCTGCACCACCGGGTGACTATTCGTGGTGTTCTTAGCGCCCTGCTCCACATTGGCGGCCTGATCACATTGCGGACACATCTCTACCCAAAAGTACAGACACACAAGTGGCCGGCTTTCTGTTATGGCACAAGAGGCTGCGCTGTTGAGGCTTGTGCCGAGGTTGCGACAGATCCGCGTGACTTTCAGTCGGCACACGTGCTGCTCCCTTGGCACTGCCTTGCTGGCGCGGCTGCGCGGGATTTTTGGGTCGGCAGTTCAGCTCTAAGAGCTGAACTGCCCGCGAGGGCCGAGCACTCCCGGAGCGCGTTTTGGTTCTGATCTCTCTAGATTAGCTGATTGGCTTGAAATTTGTCGTTTTTTGGTCTCTCTGGGGAGCTCGGACTGCCGGAGCGCTGGGATTCCAGTGGATTCTGACTTGCGTGGTGTCCGGTTAAAGCAGTGGATGAGCATAGCAAACAACCTTGCTAGGAAGGGACAGGATCTCGCGCCATGACAAAAAGCTAGCGGTCACAAGCAAAATGAGAGTCTGTACTTGGCATCGTCACACGTTCCACTTCTCAACACGTGTGACTTCTCAGTACAACGGACAAAGCGTGGGCATTTACTCATTTCAAGCAGGAGAGGCGCAAGTATATGAGCGAGGAAACCGCCGAATCCCTGGCTCGGCATTACTTGAGGCTCGGCGAAAACCGGTGCCAGATTTGAAGCCTGAGCGCCCGCGCACAAGGCGGTCTGTGAAGCTCAGCAGGGCACCAGTTGCGACTCACCACAGCTTGGGGCATGTTCCCGTCTTAGTCATGCGCGGAGATTGGCACTGCGGAAATTTCAGAGCCTACCTCTGTGACTTGGTGAAAGCAACTGGCTGATGTGCACATTAGCCATCAAGGCCAGGTTTTTCTTAGTATTTTATGTGCGCCCGCTGCACACGAAAGCGTGAGCTTGGGTGTACGGAAGAGCCAGAGGAAAATCAAGATGCTGGGCTTCAAGCCAAATGCCCCAAACACAATCCATGAAACCATGCGCTTGCCATGCGACGCTTGTGTGATGTGACTGCTCAGCAGCATGGATGCGACAAAGAATCGCATGGAAGCACGCTTAGCGCTTTGCAACTAAAGACCCCTGCCCAGAAAGCAAGAGACCTGCCATCTCAACAAGATTCGATCCGCTTCAGAGGCTGCTTGGTCCAGTCACATTTTTAACATTCTTTTCCGTGCCTGGCATGGCGATTTTCCCATTCAGCCGTGACCTGGCCCCGGTGCTGCTTTTGCTGCTCACGGCTTTTGTGTGGAAGCGGCATTTCTACATGCGTGGTTTGACGTACCGGTCCTCGGTGGTTCCCGTGGGTCGTGAAAGAGCTTTGAAGTCCCTGTTCTACGTGGGCCTCCTTGGCGTCGTCGACGCGGTGCTGCGGCGCTTGGGCCAGCTGCTGTCGCGGCTGCCGTTCTTTTCCCAAGTGCTGCCTCGCTCGGAAACCACTGCGCTGGTCTTAAGGCTGCTGCTGCCGCTTGCCACGTGCCCCCTTTTCCGAAGCATTCTGACTTGTCTTGTTTTAGGAATCATACCCCCCCAAAAAAAAACCGGTGGTTTCCTTTTGGTTTCCCTTTCAAACAAGTTCAAACAGGGTACCGTGAAAAAAGGACCATCATGGGAGTGGGCTTGGGCGAGGCTGCACATGCCTTGGGCTTTGTGGGCCCTGCGGGGGCCACTCAGCGAGCGGGGCTCCACGCGGGATGACCGGGGCTGGTCCGACGCCGTGACGCGCTGGAGCATGTGGAAGCGGCTGGCGGCGTGCTTCGGCCACACCAGCGTCGTGCTGTCGGAGGAGTGGCGGGATCTCAGTGAGTCGGAGAGGAGGCGCTGGTACGATCGACACTATGCCGCCGCCTCAGAGGAAACGCATGAAACGCGGCACAAGTTGTGAGGAGGCATGGTACATCAAGCACAAGTACACAGAGCTTTGTTATGTCTGTTGAATTTGTGGCAAAGCAGAGGCTCAAAAGCTTCACGGAGCATCAAGGGAAAGTATCGAGCGACTTCACGCTAGACCTCGAGTGGTTGAGGTCTTGTGAGTTCATGGGCTTGCGTTTCACTGACAGGTCATCGCTATGCACCCGCACGGCCTGCTACCGTTTGGGGCCATTCTCAATGGACTGACTTGGGCAGCTTGAAAGCAGAACGAGGGGTGGGATTTTTTGGATGCCATGCAAAGAGGTAGCCGACTCGATGATTCCACGGCAAGAAGGATTGTCGTGCAGCGCAATTGCATCCCGATTGAGTTGGCTCGGGATTGGCATTCCCCGTTAGAGGCCGGCGGCGGCCTGCGCGGGGTGACTGCCTCCGGCGCTACCTTACCCGAACCTGCCACTTGGCACTTGAAGTGCTGGATTAAACTAGGCCAAGACCCGGTCGAGGCTTTTGTAGCACATGTCTTGCCCAGCGTCCCTTGTGGCTGAAGTCTTTTTTTCAATACCTGGCACAGGTGCTCTAACGAGTTCTATCCACGAAACTCGTTTCAACTCAGCAGCAAGTAGCCCTGGACGCACAGGAGAACGGCGGCGAGCTGTTGCACCAGAAATGGTTCAGGCTGGATGTCCCAGCGAGGGTGTTCGGAGCCCAATATGGCTGGGTCGAGTCCCAAGGCACATGAAGCTTCGAGCTGCTGTAGCGCTGGGTCCTCACGAAGCGCTGACTGCGTGGTGCTCCTTAGGAAAACCCGACCCGGTTGATCCTTAGGTCAGGGGCTTGCGGGCTCTTCCCAGGCTTCTACGAGATGTTTACCACTCTCGGCGCCTTGTCCTTGTAAATCTCTGCCAAAGCCCTCACATGGGCGGTTTTGGTATGTGACTTGTCATGCCGTAATTCGAACCATTGTTTGTTGTGAGCCCTTTCTTCTCTGCACCATTGTCACTTGTTGCAACTGGTTGGGCAGAAGATCATTTCCGCCTGAGGGGCCTTCGAGTGCACCAAGCCCTTCATCCAGGAGGTTTTGCGCCAGGGCAAGGACGTGGCGATTTTCGTGGGCGGCGCAAAGGCGGGGCCGGGGGCCGGGCCGGCGCAGAAGCCCCCCCATTGGTCCAATTCTTCAGGTGCCGTTGGCTGGTATAAACCTCAAGAAACCAATGGAAGAGCCCATAGAAACCTGAAGTAACCAATGGAAGAGCCCGTTTAAGCCTGAAGTAACCAATGGAAGAGCCCATTTAAACCTTAGCAACCATTGGAAGAGCCCATAGAAACCGTCAACCTTGGTAACCAGTGGAAGAAGTTGTGAACTTGCTGTGAGTTCAGAGACGTGTGCCATTTGGTAGGAAAGCTGCTATGCCAGCCCTGGGCGGTATGTGTGCTTTGTGAGCACTCACAAAGGCGGGGCCAACAGACACATGAGCAGGTTTCAAGATGTGAGCCACAAGCCCGAGCACCATAGTACCAGGTTTTGATACGACTCATGTCGAGTGCAAAGCGAATTCGTCCTGCCACTCCTGGAGGATTTGTGCGATTGGCCTTGGAGGAGCATCGTGACATACTGCCCATGCTGCTCGGTTGCAAGCGTAAGGGGCTGCAGCAACTGTCAGCCAAGGATCTTGGATAGAAGGGATAGCTTGGATGGAAGGTGAGTCTGTCCCTTGTTCCGATATTCACGAGCACAAGGGAGAGCCATAGGTCATGTCCCAGGGTCCGGAATGGCCAGGCACAATAGTCACTGGATTATGGCTCAAAGCTGTGGCTTCAAATTTGTGACCAAAGGGACTGCTGTGCAGGTGGACTTTCGGCGACGAGTCCATTTTGCCGCAGATGGTGAATCCGCGGCTTGGCCTGGTACAGCCATGTTAGCAGGTCCAAGACACTATTTCTGGGTTGGTTTAAAGGAACACCAGATAAGAACACACGCCCAATTTGCAACGAGCCCAGGTTTCTTGACCGGTTCTTTTTGTGCCTTTTTCTAGGCCATCCTGGCTTCCAGCTCTGCAGAACCTTGCGAAGAGCATCACCGGCCTACTAGTCCCAGCCTCAACTTGCCATTGAGAGCAGAGGCTTTGAGGGTGGGGTACCCTTTTGGGCTGGTTTTAAACGGGAAGCCAAAAGGAACCACAAGTTTCTTTCATCTTTCAACAGCTGAAAGCTTTGGTGTCTCAGCCCAGATAGGCGCCGGGGTCCGGGGCGGCCTTGGTAAGGTTCCACGAGGGTTTTACCAGGGTTCCATCCTGGCACTGATTGCACCGTCTGGCACCGTCGGCAAAGCGACAAAGCAAAACTGGCGGTGCGCTGTGATTGGTGGCTTGGATTGGTGCTCCCATTGCACCGTCTGGCCCCGATCGGGGCCCGGTTGCCGTCCCGGTCAGGCGCCGTCGGGCCCCGGCGACACCTACCTTTGTACATGTAAAGCGGCATCCTAATGATTGGTGGCTTGGATTTGGTGGTTTGTTTTTTTTTGGGGCCCTGGTCAGGCACCGATTGCACCGTCGGGTCTCTGATCGGGGCCCGATTGCGCCGTCGGGCCTGCTGGCGCCGTCAAGCCCTTGTCGGGCACCGTCGGCTGTACCAGATAAAGTGGCATCCTAGGCAAAACCGGCGGTGCGTTATGATTGGTGGCTTGGATTGGTGGTTTGCTCGCTCCGGGCATCGGTCGGGCACCGATTGCGCCGTCTGACCCCGATTGGGGCACCGTCGTCGCGCCCCGGTCGGGCACCGTCGGATGTACCTTTGCGCAGGTAAAGCGGCGCCGTAAGCAAAACCGGCGGCGCGCTATGATTGGTGGCTTGAATCGGTGGTTTGCTTCCCGGGCCTGAGCACAAAAAAGAGCACCGCGCGCTGTATATCACCTGAGCTTAGTTCAAGAAAAGGCACGGCTCTGCGTGGCCAGGTGCCTCCGGCGTTCTCCGGACCGCCACGCTTGGTGCCATTGACGATGGTCACAGGCCGGCTGTGAGGTTTCGCGGCGCCGTTGCGCCAACAAGTCCTGGCCCCATGGTAAGGTCCCAGATTGGGCTTTGCTTTGATCTGAATGGAGGGGACTCTTCCGTTTTTTGAATCAGCTCTTTGTTGATCTGAACGGAGGTGACTTTTCTTTTTTGAGTCAGCTGTGGTCTTGCCAGAGGCAACTAGAGGTTTCGTTGTCAGGCGTCCCTGTATCCTTGGAAGACCTGTGGCCTTCCCAGCTGGGTGGAGCCGTCACAGATGCGGCGGTCGATGAGGCGGGGGTAGCGCACAGGTGGGATTCGGAGACGTGGTGAGATCAGCTTGCCAGGGCCACCGGCGCTACGTGAAGGCTGGATCAGCTGTTAGAGAGACGTAAGTCGATCATGTTGGCAGCTTTCCTGGATTGAGAATGCACAGACACAGGCTCAGCAGAAGTTGTTCGACAGCAACAAGGCGAGTCGTTGCAGTGGGTTGCCACTCACTACAATATGGAGGCAACTTGAAATTTTGTAAGTTGGTGTTTATCATCATCATCATCATCATTATCATCATCATCATCATCATCATCATCATCATCATCATAATCATAATCACTGTTAAACTATTATTTGTACTAATATTACTATTATTCTTGTTATGATTATGATTACTATTTGTGATACTTATTATCATCATTGTTACTACTACTATGTCTTTTTTTTCCTCTCAATCTCTGAGCATATGGCTTTCCTGGCTCGCGCGGCTTTTGGTGGCCTTCTGTGGCCTCTTTGTCCCCCAGCCGACCTCGATGGCCGAAAGGACCCACCAATCCGAAACCAATCCGTTCCCATCAATTGCACCCAGGGACCCAGCCTAGACCGCTTTCAACCCAACCCCAAAGCCTTGAACCCGCCCTCAAACCGCCGAGCCCGAATCCCAGCTCAAGCCGAGCAACAAGAGGCCTATTTGCCGCTGAAGCGGCAGAACTCAACAGCTCGGTCCTCCAAGAGACAACGTGAGAAACAAACAAATTCAATCAAACTTGTTAATTCTGTGCAATATTCTCCAGCTATGGTGTGGGAGTGCATGCGTTCAGCTGTTCGATTCCAAATGCCAGCAATAGTCGTGCGAATTCTTGCGAAGATGCAAAGGCTTGCACGGAGCAGGCAGAACCGCTGGATCCGGATGTATCTTGCAGGCCGACATTTATATGTCCGAAGAGAGGGACCCCCCAAAATGGGTGTGTTTCGTTGCCAAACGGACAAGGGTCTCATTTGGCAGTGGGTCAAAACCAATGGTATCCCATTTTGGGGTAGGTGTACCACCCATTTTCACTGGGGGTACGATTTTGATTTTGACCCATTTGTTCGGCATTGGTGCAACCTGCCAGGCCCTTGTGGCCGGTGGTCACGCGAAGGCAGTCATCGAATTCCTCTGAGAGGATGGCTCTCGCGGCGCAAAACGATGGTTGCACGTAGCTTTCTGGGTGGGCTCGCCTTCTTTTGGACTCCTTTTGGAGCGGTTTTAAAGGGAAGCCAAAAGGAAACCAACCATATTTGGGGTTGATCTGTTTAAAGACCAAGCCTTCTGCCATCACTGACTGCACATGCAGGCCACCTCTAAGAGTCATCTCCCAGGGAGAGCTACCATTGCAGTCGCGAATTCTCCGCTGCCGATGACGCCCGCTGCTGGATCAAAGCTCCTTGGCACCGCAAAGCCATCAGGGCAGTGGGCAGCCTCAGGGTCTGGCAGAGAACCGCGACGGAACTAGTTTGAATCCTATGGGAATGTCTTACAGACAGGGCCCCTGTTTGGATGGTTTAAAAGGGAAACCAAAAGGACACCACCTACCTTGAGAGGTCCCCAATTTTGAGAATCCATGATAGCTATGAGAATCCATTTTGGTTTCTCATTGAATGAGCGGCCTGTTCTGGGTCAAACGCTTTGATAGACCAGGTCAGGTATGAGCGCAGGTGCAGTGGTCGGGCTTGCTTTCCAGAGGTTGCATGCCATAACTCTCTGGTATATGTGCAACGAGGCAACGTACTGAGGCGCGCATGGCAGGCTCTGCGCAGCCCTGTGCCGTGCTTGGGTGAGATCAAATGCCTCAACTGAAGAGTTCAGAGATGGTATGGGTTCATTTCGTCACGGATGGCTCAACATTGCATGGGAACACTGCCACCGCGCCACATGTCCATTCCTTTCAAAGCCAAAAAGCACTCCGGCGGCAGCCTCCGTGAATTGACGTCTGAAGGCCGAGCCTCGGCTACGGGACAAGCGGGACAAAGGAGGCGCGGGATGGGTAGCTCAAGCTGAGGATGGAAAGCCGAGATAAGTCACAAGTACGGCACGAAGCGATTGCACGTTGACAAGTATTCTTGTATGCATGGTGCTTCATTCTTTGTCTAGACTCTGGACGGAGGAAATAAACAGGCGTGCACCCCGCTCCCCCTCATTGTTGGCATTCAGAACAGGTGGTGCAGGATTTCGGTCATTCCAACATGTTTGCAGCCAACGGCGCCTGAAACTTCCAAGGTTACATAGGGGGCGCGAGGGTTCTTGTAACCATAGCGAAAGCGGTTATTGAGACCAGTATCATTGTGAGCGCTAGTGCTACCTGCCAAGAAATTTGCAGGGCTTGCTTGTCCACTTTCTGCCAAGCAGGACTGAACGGCTAAAATCCATTTTTGCTGGAGCTAAAGACAGAACCAGTGGTTGCAAACATCAAGCTGTGGCGAGAATCATTAATTTGCAATGCAAATGCAAGAACAATGATTTGAACATAGAATGATGCTGGCTTGTCTGGTTAGGCGGCATGTACAGGGAGCAACATGGTAGCTTCACCCTTGCCCAAGGCTGGCCACTGGACCCAAGGCCGGCGGGATGTGCCAGAACTCCATATCGGGAAAAGGCAAGACTAGATCGTGACATTATGTCACCATGTGCCACCATGTCGCATGGCAAGACTAGGAGGCCACACATGTCCTGGATGGCACCACAAGGTTTTATTGGACATGGTGACCTGCTACTAGTGGCGTTGCCAGCAGAACACATGTCAACGCTCAATCCCATTCATCTTTTGGCCTCGCTCGCAGGAGCCAGGCCTCGTGCGAAACGGCCTTGAAAGGCAGCAGCGAGCCGCTTAGTCGCCCATACCTCGCTTGGCCATTTGCCTTCCACGTGCTTCCTGTGTGGTTTCTGTTTGCCACTGCGAAGGCGTGTACCTCTTGCGAGTTTCCATAACGTGAGCATTGTGCAAGTAACTAGCTCTGATGGATCAATAAACACAGTCTGGCGGGGAGGTGACGCCTAATCATGGTGCTTATGTTTAGCTGCTTTCAAGAATAGAGTGGACAACTTAGGACGGCCTGGTTCCAATACGTGTGGCTTGCAATTGCTTTGCACTCCTTCATAATGTATTTGGCACTGCTTCCGAATTGCGATATGTGACGGGCGCATGTGTCTATGCAACGTGGAAACTGGTGCCTGAGAAGAGCGACAATAAAAGTACGACGATGACAATGACTGCGACCACAATAACAGCAACAGCCACAGCAACAGCAACAGCAACTGCAACAGCAACAGCAACAGCAACATCAGCAACAAGAACCAGAACCAATACAATGAGCAACAACAAGAACAAGAGCAAGACCAAGATCAGGACCAGGAACAACCACAAGAGCAAGAGCACCATCACTGCACCAACAACGACACCAACTCCCAGCACCAGCACCAAAAATCACCGCCGCCACCGCCTCCCCGCACCGCCACCGCCCCCACCGCCGCAGCCGCCACTGCCACCAGTCCACTTTCTTAGTCAATGCATGAGAGCCAGCTTCAGATGTGAGTGTTGCTCAAAATCAAACAGCTAGGGTTACGCAGGTTTTGGTCCATGTTTCCACTTGCCAGGGTTCCATTTTGGTACCGGTTTTTTTTTGAGCCACGCCATGTCAAGGCTTTTGCTGGCTGAACTGATCGAGCCCGCACCCAAGACTCGTCATGGATTGCTTGGCACATTGCGATGGCGGAAAAGCAGGATACAGTGCCAGAGTTTGACATTCCAGATTTTTCTGAACCTTCAGACAAAGTGTTACTGTTTCACCTTTTGAGTACAGATGCATCTTTGCAGCAGAGTTGCTTGCAAAAGAGCCGGCCCCCCTGTTTCTCCGTCAGGCGACAAGAAGACCCGCTTGATGAACAATTGCATAGGTGCCCAGTTTCACAGCCGACTGACAGTGGGTCCGAGCAATGGACAGAATGTCTCGCTGTCAGTCCTATCACGTCTCTGGATTCTTTGTAGGCTTCTGGGTATGCTGCTGGAAGATCCCTGCTGCGATGGTCCTGAGCGCAGCGAGGCCTTCCGTTGGTGCGGGCAACAGGGTTTGGCTGTGAGTGATTCAGTAGTCACTGGGGAGCAAATATGGCTTCAGATGGTCGGTTGCTCGTGATCCGTAAAGCAGCAGAGGAGGCATGGCATGCTGTTGATTCATATCCAGCAATGCGCAGGCAAGCCAAAGCGACGGCTGGCAACAAGAAAGCAGGCTGCCAGAAACCGGTTGTAGACGGTTGCTGATTTTTGCGTGGTTTGCATGGCCTGATATTTTGTGTCCCTCTTCTCTCTCTGTCTCTCTCTCTCTCTCTCTGTCTCTCTCTCTCTCTCTCTCGCTCTCTCTCTCTCTCTCTCTCTCGCTCTCTCTCGTCCTTGTTTGTCAGTGCTGCACCACCGGAAAATTGAATGTGACATGAGCGGCTTAGACTTGCCGCTGATGCAGCGACAGGCCGCAAAGCAACTCATCCAGGATGGGGCGTGCACATTTTTAGCTCGGTAATGGCAACTGATGATGTAAGCAGGATGGGCTGGTAGCTTGACCTTGATCTTTTGGCACGTTCTAGCCGATTCCAGCCCAGAGGGTTGCCAGGCTATGTGGTGAGTGGCCTTAAGCATGTTTAGCAATTTTCAATGGACCGCAGCAACTTGAATCTTTTGCAGATCTGTGGTGAGGCTTGGTGCAGGTGAGGTTTTGGCAGGGTGCACTGCAGGAGTGCTCGACCGAGACCAAAGCCAACACCCAAGCCAGGCTGGAGCCACTTGCGCGGTTTTCCAGGTAGCTAAGTCTTTTTTTGCATGTGGGTGTTGATCGATATTCCTAGCCCCCAAATGACCATGGGTAACTTTGTTTATTTAGTGGGAAACATCCTTTTTGGTGGTTTTTCCCAATGGTCATCCCATGTAAAGGACCTTTTGATCCCCATATCTTGGGCGTGCGACGTGAAGAGACTTGCGCATTGGGGTAGCCGGCAACTGCCAACAAACTGAGAGCCCAGCCAATAGAACGTCTGCTGAATTTCTCAGATTTGGCTGATGCCACGCACAGTTCTTGCCTAGGCGCAGACAAATCGGTGAAAAGCGCCGAGGAGGGTCTGGCCAGAAATCCGGACGGTAGTTGGACCAAGCTCAAACAGTGTGTTCAAGCCTTGTTGGGTCAAGGTGCCAGATGCATTGTACTTGTTCGAAGGCATGATGCCGGAACAAAGCTGCCACACAAACCGCCAAGCTAAGGCCAGCATGTTGATGTAAGGCCAGCACTCTTCGAACCAGGTGACACCAGCGCAAGCTCTCTCGATGTGGCAGTCCCGTGAGGACAAGCTGGCTCGTGAGTTGGAAGGTCTGATCCAAAGCAAGGATTGGCTGCAGGTGAAGAGGAAGATCAAGCTGCGCTGCCTTGCTCGCTTGTCTTAGGACCAAGAAATGTGAGAAGTCTTTTTGTTTGTGACATCGCATTCCAGGGTTCGCGCAGATGCAGCAGGGGTCAAGAGAACAGCAGCTTCTGCCGCGTCGCGTTTCTGTTTTTTTTCTTCTCCCGCCAGGGGGGTTTGGCGGCTGGCGTGCTGCCAGAGTGGTTCCCGGCAGCTCCAGCAGGCGCGATGGATGGCAGCTCCGCAGTTTTGTTGGTCGACGCGCGAAGCATCGCCCAACGCTGCAGCTGCTGAAGAAGAGCTGCAGAGTGGGCCCTAACGCCACGGAGCCAGAGAAGAAGGCTTGAGAGAGATTTTCAACTTAGGACTCGCAAGTTCCGTTCGGTTGTTGTCCTTGCTGTTTCCATGGACTCCAGGCAGCAGAAGAATGGAGGGCTGCAGTAGACATTGCGGGACGCTGAGAAATGGGAGTAGCGCGCGGGACGAACTCAACAGATGCAGCCTCCGGAGCCAGGTCATCGCCGAACTAAGAACTCACGTGCTTCAGGCCTTGTGTTCAAGCTGTTCTCTTGGTGTTGCCAATTCGTCATGTGGGTATGGGTCAAAATTAAACCACCAGGGGACCGCAGGTTTTGGTCCATGTTTTCATTTACCAGGATTCCATTTTGGGTACATATTTGTGACCCACAGCCATGTCTCCAAGCCGGGATTGACGACTTGCAATTAGCCTTGAAGTATCGAGTGGGAGGTCACCGCAGCCAGGGAGGTGTCCAACTTTTCCAACTATGTCCTGCAAGCGTGCATACAAGCCTGACGCTCAGTGAGACGGATGTTAGCTCGTATGTCAGATGCAGTACTGCCTTAAGTGGCTGTGGGTCAAAAATAGATACCCAAATGGAACCCTGGTAAATTGGCACATGGACTAAAGCCTGCGGATTTTGGGGGGCTTAATTTTGACGCAACCAAGTCAGCCCAGGAGCTCTCGCCAGAACGATTCAGTTTCATCCTTGAGGAGCGGTTTTGAAATGCAGCTGAAGAGCACAGCCGTGCCATGCACAGACTCATACCTTCTTGGCGACAGGGGCCAAAGTGAAAGACCTTTGGACCTCTGGGCACGATAGTCGGACAGGAGATGAAGAATCACGTCGCCAAAGTTGCGGTGGATCCTCAGGGGTGCCGTGCAAGAACCTCAGACTTGTGCACGGTGTGCTCAAAGTCGAATTTTGAGACCTCCACAGTGGGCCAGAGGACAGGTTGTTTATGTGTTCCAATGTCTCAGCTCGCTGGAGACTCGAAAACCGCGTGTTTCCGAAGCAACCTCTTTGGCGAGCCGTTGAGTTGTTCGCACGTGATGCGTTGTTTCAGGCTATCAATAGCATTTCGAATGGATGTTGCCTGTTTCCATGTTGCCCACTCCCACGCCCATGCGTCGCCTTCACCCAACTGGCCGGTGGCAGTCCCACGCGCGCTCTCGCGCAGCGCTGGTGGTGCCGTTCACACCCGTGAGACTTTCGCTCCAACTTCTTTGCCTGCGCGGCATCCGGGCGGTTGCGAGGTGTGCCCGGCCGAAGCTTCGGCTCTGCTTCGATGTGAACAAGACCGTGGTCATGGAGGACTCAGCGGGGAAAAAGTCTGCACGACAGCTCTGCAATGAGGCTATCGCCGACGCCTGCTGGGGCCGCGAGCTTGGGGGTGTGTGGACCTGGAGCGGGACCCCGCTAGGCCTGGAGCCCCCGGGTGAGGAGCTTCTGACCTACAGCGCTTGGGTCAATGACAGGTTTCCGGATGTGGTGAGCACTGATCCTTCCAACCGGGATGCCGCGCGGGCTGCGTCACGGAAGGCCAAGAAAACCAGGGACGCCTTGCGCGGCTCCTTTGCGGAACGTGTGGCGCCGCCACAGGTCTCAGCTCTGCTGGAGCCGATGCTGCAAGGCCTGGTGATTCCGGAGACTCTCTTGGCACAGACCGAGGCCCTGGAAGCGGCCGGCCTGGCGCAGCGCAGGTCCTGGTTCCTGCTGCCCTCCTTCCTCTCGGCCATCCGCCGGCTGCTGGAGGCGCAGCACGCGTCGGACGCGTCGCCGGAGATCTCCTTGGAGTTCCGGAGCTTCCTGAGTTCATGAGCTTTTAAAACTTTTGGGGGTTGGACCATTTTAGTGGGAAATGTCAGGTTCGGCCGTTTTTTGGGGGGCCCATCCACTCAGCCAAGGTTCCGGAGCTTCGGGCAGGACTTGCCCGCCGTGGCCCAGGAGTTCAACGCCTTCGTCCGCGGGGCCCATCCGCTGCACCCGGACTTCCGCTGCGAGAGCTTTGCCATCGCCCGCTTCGGCTCCTACTTCCGGGACGGGCGCATTCTGCTGGCCTTGGGAGGAGATCAAGCTTCCCCAAAATTCGCTCCCCTTTTTTTCTTCTTTTTCTTTTTCTTCTTCTTCCTTTTTTTGGTCCCTTTGCTTTCCACGAACCAGGCAAGACATATATTTTTTTGCTGGGGTCCTAATTCCGGCCTAGCAAGGAGAGGGCGAAGGTGTGAGCAGTTGCGAGACTTGGGAAGAGGCTGTTCGAAAGGGGCTCGAAAGCGGCGCCCAGCTGGCAGAAGGAGTCGAGGCGATTCATGAATTGATCGCCCACACTGGGGGAGCAGAACGCGCGTTCTGCTTCCGCGATCACTGGCGCTACTGGCGAGATCAAGGAGAGGTGGCGCGTGCTGGCAAGCTGGTGACTCTGGGGGATGACGAGGTGCTCTTTATGGATGACAATGCCAGAGATCCCGATGGTCACATCGTGGACGCGCGCTTCCCTGGTGGCGATGCAATTCCATGGCCAGAAGCAAGACGAAGTGTGGTCCGCGCTTTTCCTATTGCTGCAATCACTGACCCGGATTACTTTAGCAATCTCATCTTCGCAGCCGTGCGGCGGGCAGAAAAAACAATAGACAACAACATGATATGTATATGTACATGTATATATATATATATATGTATGTATATATATATATATATGTATTTGCAATTCCGACTAAGAAACACTTGAATCTAGTGGACATACGACGGCCATCGCTTGCATAATCTTGAAATAAGGTGGATTTGGGTTTGTCACCTGGATGGCTTCTGGCGACTAGGTCATGCAAAGAATCATTGAACATGTCGGCGACAAAGACGAGTACACCATGCCAGGGCCTTGTCACGAAAAAACGTCGAGCTGGGCTGTTCAAAGGCAATCCTGTGTAGTGGTTTTCAAGTGGGGATGGTGGATTTAGGATTGGCCCACACTCCATTTTGAACAGCCCAGTTGAAGAGGTTATGTTTTCATGTATTGACCATTGTTACCCGGACAGTGATCCTGCGGTACGCAGGTAAACACAGCTTGCGAGTTTTAGCAGTGAAGACACCAGCAATACTTGTTGCATCCGCCTGCATTTGGGTGATTGGGTGTTCCATGACTAGCAGGCCGCTGCTGCAAGAGATCCTTCCGAAGCTGAAAGAGTAAAGTGCCCAGAGACAGTTGCTCGTTCGCTAGCAACTAAAGGGCAGTTTGGAAGGCCAGAAAGTGTCTCGATCAGCGTACTGCTGATTGGACGTGGCAGAGTCCAACCACAAATCGCTTACACATTTGTCCATTGAATCTTTGGTACCAGGGTGGCAATGGATCGCTATGGCAACCACGTCGTGCAGAAGTTTCTTGAGATGGGAGCTCAGCAAAGTGACCATGCAAAGGAAGAGCACGCCAGGCTGTTTGCTGAACAGACACAGTGCATGCTGTTTCATGAACATGTACGGTTTGTGGTGACTTGACTGGAAAGGCTCTCGTGTATGCAGGATGGCCTCTGAGAATCAGAGGAGCGCCCTCGTGCAGGCGTGCCGATTTGGCCGAGAGAGCCCAGACAGCCTTGGCGTTGAGTTTGCCTCAAACCAAACCTTGTCTTATTTTTCAGTATTCTTTCATGGCGGCAGATGCCAAGGAAATCACCTACTTTCTATTGTGAACATTGCTGATATTGACAATCTTATGACTGTTCTTGCATGTGTTTCAAGAGCAGCTTATTTTTGTTTTCGAACCACTTTTGCGACAGTGATTTGTTTGAGTGACTCACAGACTTGTAGCACGGGCAGGAGTTGTTCCAGCTGGGGCAGATGCCGGGCCAGCTGTCGGAGCTGGCTATGGGCCGGTGCGCTGCATCGTCTTGGTCAGCATTTCGGGTGGAATCAAGTCAAGCAAGGCGCACACACGTGCATTTGTGTATGTATATGAGGATCGATATGCATCATCGCATTGCCCAGCGTTGCATTGCATTGCGTTGCATTTCATTGCATTGCATTTGCATTGCATTGTGCGTTGCATTGCATTGCGTTGCATTTCATTGCATTGCATTTGCATTGCATTGTGTTACACAAGTACATAATCATAATACATATATATATATATATCATACACTTGTGCGTTGATGACACATGAGGGGACCACACCTGCATACATATACACCCATATACACATATATGTCTATTTGAGTATAACAATGCAACTGGTGCTCCAAGTGCAGGGCTCTTCCGAGTGCTTGGAATGCATCGAACTTAAGCGACCATCGGGCAGAGTCAGAGATGGTTGTGTGTCGATTTGGGAGCAACTGCCGTGGCAACTAGAGAGCTGGGGCAAGGAAAACAGTGCTTGGATTGGGCGCATTTGGAAGAAAACACCTGGCAAAGTGATGATGAGATGAAAACTTTGATAGTGGCAATGTCCATTTCTCGGATGTTTGCCTTGCCGGAAAGGAAGGGAAGGAATCTACCCTTACTGGCTGGAGTTGCTTTCTTGCAAACTGCAGGTATTCTAGCCACGTCTTGGAGAATGCGGTGGTTGGAGTCTTAGACTGGCAATCATTTTTTGGATTCCTTGGAACAAGGTGTTTCAAACAGAATCCCGAGCTTTTGATGAACGAGAGTTTCATTGAGCTTCGACGTTGGATGTTGAAGGCCAATCGACCGCATCCATTTCCCAGGTGAACACATCCCCTGAGCTGCGGCACGAGTTCATTGCCATCCTGGAGCAAAGATAGCCTATTGGGTGGTATGAGTACGATGTTCATCCACCAAGTCAGTACTATGTTCATCCACCAGAAATTTGTGCTATGAACCCTATGCCAACCTTGCTCTTGGCGGTTGGGCTTTCGCTCCACAAAAAAGCTGCTGAGAGGAGAAGGAGCTCCACAGGAAGAAAGCCAATCATGATGGCACACCAGGGCGCATGCAAAAGAAGACAGAGCCGAAACCTCAGTGCCACGTCTTTCGGGCGGGGAAAGGGGAAGGAGCAGCAAACGCACGTCAGGTTTGGCAGCTTCGTCTGGCGCTGCCTGCGCAAGATACAGCAGGAGAGTCCCAAGGCCCGGAATGAAGCAGAGATGGATCAGCTCAGTTACAAGAGGGCCAAGGAATGACTTCTTTGTACATCTACAGCTGTGTGCCCCATGGTTAATGTTGGCTGAAGCTAGCCTGGGCAAGGCCACACGAGCCCCCAGAAGTTAAAGAAGATTCGCGGAACGAGAACTGCAAAAAGAAGGTTTGGAGCAGAACGAAGGACTTGAGACGGAGATTGCCCAGCTAAGTCCGTGATGTGGTTTTCGGAGGAACAGGTGAAGTGGCTGCAGAGAGTCAATGAGGCCATGGATCCCACCATCCGCCAACTTGAAAATACATTCCAAACAGAGAAAGATGGGTATGGGTCAAAATTAGGCCACCAGGGGACCGCAGGTTTTAGTCTTTGGTTCCATTTACCTGGGTTGCATTTTGGGTACCTATCTTTGACCCACACCCAGAGATTGACGAGTTATCCTTCACCCTCAAGTCAGTAGAGGAAGGCTGCGCCGAGCCATTTGGAAGCGACGGCGTACATTCCACAATGAGAAGTAACTCTTTGTCTAGACCTCCGGTCTCTGTTTCTGCAAAACCTGTGCAACGGACTCCTTCGTGAATGGAGCAAAACCTGTTCCCTTTATTTTGCAAGAAAGGGTCCAAGCCAGGGGGACGCATTTGGATCCTCTTAACTTCAGTGGAGTTTCGTTGAGTTTTGAAAGGCCGTTGTCTTCATGAGAGCCTCGTGAGAGCCGTGAGGTTAGCAAATATGAAGGATGTTTAGTACGTTTCTCGAAAGACCCCTTTACTTGGCGGCATCAACGGTGGTGGTGAACCCTTTAGTAATGTCTAAGCTCTCGCGAAAGCTTAGAGAGTTTAGACCCTGGCCCTTTTGAAGCTTAGTAGGTTTATTTTTGACCATACATGTAGCCCCCAGCTTCAGGAGTCGCACAGAGCGCATGGTCGGTGCTACAAACAACCTTCAGGCAAACCGAAGGAACGAAAGGATCAAATTAACACAACACATGAGCATAAATTGCGCCGCATCCCTTTCGAACACATCAGGTCGCATCCAACACGCCAAAGCCTGCCTTTCCCTCAGAAGAGTCTTGCTCTCAGTTTGTGGGTTTGCAGGCTCGGAGTCCACCTTGTCATGAAGCCAGCTATTACAGGAGTTCCAGGCTTTGTCTTTTTCTCTTCAGGGGGCAGAGGGGCTGGGGCAAAAGGCTGATTTGACCATGGGTCAAACCCCGTACCCCCAGTGAACATCCCAATCCCCACTAAAATAGTACTAAAATGGGTGGTTAATTCACCTGCAAACCCCAACATGGGATCCAAAACGGTTCTGACCAGCACAGCCATGCTCTTGCAAGCTTCGTACGGCCGCATGGCCAAACGCTCGCTTCGATTCCTTTGCTCAGGCCGCGACCCACAGCGCCAGCGCCAGCGTCCGCAGCAGCAGCCGCAGCACCCGCGCCGACGGCGCCTGCTGCGCCTGCAGCAGCACACGCCCAGGCACACGGCTGGGCCTCTGAATGGGTGTGGGTCAAAATTGAACCTCCAGGGGACCGCAGGTTTTGGTCTTTGTTTCCATGTGCTAAGGTCCCATTTTGGGTACCTATCTTTGACCCACAGCCAAGTGGGGGTTGATCGAACTATTCCATTGAGGGCCCCCCAGTTTTGACCATGGGTAACTTTTCCCATGTGGTTGAAAGGTTCTCCAACCAATGATGGTTGTCCCATGTAATGGACCTTTGATCAACCCCCAAGTGCCCAATCTGGTGCGGAAATTTGAATCTTCACCGAGTTCCACTCATTCTCTCACCGAAGTCTCGCAGGTGGTAGCCCCATGCATGACGCCGGGGTCCTAGGAAGCCGATCACAAGATGCAGCTTGAGCTTGAGGCTTTCCTATCCCATCTTGGTGCCGTCCATTCCTGTCTATCCTGTTTGGCCACACTCTCGGACGCCCAGAGCCGATTTACCGGGCCAACCAGGATTTGCAATCGCCTGCTTTGAGTTGTATTTTTTTGTTCCGCTACCCGACAGGCGATGGCCAAATGCATGCTGAAGTACTTAAGGCTGGGATTGCACGACGCTTGACATATTCTGTTTTCGAGCAGTGACACAGGGGTCATTATTTTGACGGTTTCTGGGGGTGATCAAAGTCAGAAATGGGGTTTGTTTCCCTTTACCCCACTGAACGGGGGTGACTTTGGTAAAATAACTTTTCTTCATTCGGCCGTCGTTGGCTCCCTGGCCTGGCAGGCAGACGTTTCGCAGTTTCACCAGGTGGCCAAGGAGCAATAATTCAAGGCTGGGACGGCCGGCTGATCGACTGCGCGTTTGCCGAGCGAGCCGCCGGCCTCGCAAGTAGATGCAAGTAGGAATTGGTTGGTTGGTTGGTTGGTTGGTTGGTTGGTTGGTTGGTTGGTTGGTTGGTTGGTTGGTTGGTTGGTTGGTTGGTTTGTTTGGTTGGTTGATTTGTTTGTTTGGTTGTTTGGTTCGCTTCACCGTCTCAGTTGGTTGACAGTGAAGCCGACTGTCAGTTGCAAACAGATGCAGGTTTGACGTTGGCCAGAGCGAGGCACTGAGCTTTGCCGTGCCATCACCGATTAGCGATGAATTTTGGCAAAGTGGCTAAGGCGCATTCGGATCCTATAGCAACAAGCTTTGGCCAGCGAAGCCAGGTGAGTTTTGAGATGCAAGCTGCTTCAGGAGTCATGCCCCGGGAATGTTGCAGTTAGAGCGTGCTGCAAAGGCACAATGTGTCTCGGGCCAATGGCATGCTGGGGCCACTCCTGATGTGCTCTCAGTGCGGCGAGCTTCGTCAAGAGCAAGCCTCCCAAAGGGTATGGTGCAGTCCGATCTGGAGTAATGCGAGGGCTACAATAACGAACAGATTGTTTCGGACACCGCTATGCCAGACTGAATCGTAGTGTCGAAATTGGTGACTCTTTGATGGAACAAGCCTCAACGGCCCTTAGGATCCACATGGATTTGCTATCTTAAGGCTGGACGTGCTGCACATCTATTGGAATTTGTTCCCTTGCGCAGCATCGCTGCTGGCGTGTGAACACATGCAACTCCAGTTAACCCAGGCGTGTGAACACATGCAATCGCAGGCTGCTCTATTTCCAGAGTGGGGGATGGTTGCAGGAGCAGGCTGTTTTTAGACATGACTGTCTTCAACACTTCTTTGTTTTGTTGTGGGATTCTTCAGCCTGGTGACGCGACCACCCAGAAGCTCTAGAATGGCGTGTGAACACATGCCTGTCCCCAGATGCCAGTGTCACAGATGGAAGCTGCAAGCCTTGGACTGGTGACGCAATGAACTCATCCCTGGCTTGGCTTCCTGTCAAGGCACTCGCCCCTAGATGCAGGTAGACCACAACACCAGGGGTATTGACATGCTTGTGATAGATCCAAGCTGGACAAATACCATTGCACTCAAGTGTTATTCTTGAAGCCGCCCCACCTTTGCTGCGGATGGGCTTCGCTTGCAGCAAAGCTTCCCGTTTCAAAAGGGCACATGACAAGTGAAGCAAACCGCAGTTAAGCAGTCCAGAAACGTCACGGTTAGCTCTTCAGTGATCCTTGTGCTTTCAATATGTCGCAGCCCAAGTTTCGGAAAGTCACTTAGCAAAGCTCAAGGATCGCCATGGTTTCATTCTTTGACTACTGCCAACCTCCATCTAAGGCCTCTTTATTCAAGAAGTGCAGCGGTGTTTTGGTATGTTGCACCTTTTGTCCACGCGGAATGCCTTGCTGCAGGATCTTAAAACTCACCTGGAATCCGGCCTTGCTCCCCCGGGAGTGGGCCATTGGCCTGAAAGTCGGGCAAGCCAACTGATCACAACAGAAGTGTTCATGCTGCCAAGAGGCCCACGCTGGCCCCTTGTCTTACTGTCTTGCACTGGTTGGCCACTTTCAGGCCCTTGAAGAGTGAATTTTGATTTTTACACTTGCCTGTGCCTCATGAGGGCCCAGTTCACATCTCATGGAGGGCGCAGGTTGAAATTCAAACACTTCCGGAGATTCTTGGCTGGCTTCGGTTAGTTTCGGAGCCAGCCACTCCCGAAGTAAGATGCAGGCCAGCGCTAGCGTCCAAGGTAAATAGAGCCTGTCAGCTCTGGATCGCCTTCAAGCGCCCCAAGTATAGGCGCATCTACACGCAGTAGCTGAATTTCTTTAAGGCGATTCAGGCTCACAGGCCACTACCTTTGGCACCCTTGCTCTGCAGAATATTTCAGCTGTGAGAATAAGAGAGGTCTACACTTTCCGACCTCGCAAAAGGCGCTTTTCGAAGAAAACCATATCACATAAATATCGAAGCCGAGTAGCTGCCAGAGGCCGATTCGAGCAAGAAGACGCTGCAATTAAGACGGCATCTCATGGGAAAAATTGGGATCCCCTTCTGGCAAACCTATCCGGCTATAAGTTTCATTGTCTTTTCGAGACATCGCCTGACTGCTTGGCTATATGGTAGCTAAGCACTTGGCAAAGTCCCATGGAAATCTTGGTCATGCACAGCAAGGATGCAGCTCCATTCCAAGCAGCCAGGTGAAACCCGCAACAAGACCTCTCTGGAGGCAGCGGTATGAAAATGACTCGGGGCCAGGCAACAAGTCCTGCCACGGCTGGAGTCTCTGTCCGATGACTCACAAGGAAAATCTCTGGGGACAAAGACTTCAGGTCGTGGGATGCAGTGGCAGTCTCGGCCCATCCCACAGTTTTGAGGGATGCGACACAGGCACCGTGATTGACGCCTCTAACACAAGTGCTTGATCGCAGAATCCAGAGGATTGAACTTCTGGAGAATGCACGACATCGGAATTTCGGCGCATACTAGAGGCTGGTACATCCAAGGCCAATCAATCTGTAGAGCCTATGATATTTCCGATGTTGTGGAGGCTTGCTCGGCATCGGTACAGGCGGCTTTCAGATGTCGGGCGGCCAGTGTGCCTTCGGGCGCTTTAAGGGTCTGTGTGCCTCGAACGTGGTTTTCCGAGTGTAGAGAAAATCAGCTATCAGTCCTCGAATCCCTTGGCAGACAGACCAAGAGCAGAGAGCTAAGTATGAGGCTCTGCTCTGGGAATCTCTGAGATGGTGTAGGTTGGGGTGTAGATCTCTTTGATTCTTTCCTAAGGTCCCGGCTTCATGTCGGCGATTATGGTTGCAGTACATTATGCATTTGCATTTCCGTCAGCGCATCGCACACAGCTGGAGTCACAGACGCACAGACAAACACACACACACACACACACACCCACCCACCCACCCACCCACGCACGCACGCACGCACGCACGCACGCACGCACGCACGCAAGCACGCACGCCCACCCACCCACCCACCCACCCACCCACGCACGCACGCACGCACGCACGCACACGCACACGCACGCACACCCACACCCGCACCCGCACTCGCACCCGCACCCGCACCCGCACCCACACCCGCGGGCGTGTGCGCGTGCTCGCCCGTGCGCCCGCGCGCACGCATGCACGCTCACACGAGCATACAGACACACAGACACACCACCAAAATACACACAAATACAGATACACGCGCAAGCACTTGGACACGCGAACACGCAGACGCACAGAGACACACAGAGACACACACACAGAGACACACACAGACACACACACACACACCCACACACGACACACACACACACACACACACACACACCCACACCCACGCCCACACACACACCCACACCCTGCATGCACGCACTCATGCGCCCACGCACCGCGCGCACGCAAGCACACAGACACAGAAACACAGAGACACAGATATACAGACACACACACACACACACTCGGACACACGCACGCGCAGTCACGCAGAGACACACAGAGACACACAGACACAGAGACATACAGAGACACACAGAGACAGAGAGATAGAGAGAGACACACACACACACACACACGGACACACAAACACACAGACACACACACACACAGACGCGCGCAGGCACACACACAACACAACACAAAACACAACACAACACAACACGACACGACACAACGCACCACAACACAATACGGCAAAGCACAGCACAGCAGGCAACACAACGCAACGCAACGCAACGCGACGCAGGACAGCGCAACGCAACGCAACGCAACGCAACACACACACAACACACAACACAATGCAACACAACACACACACAACACACAACACACACACACACACCAGACACACACACACACACACATACACAGCAGACAACATGCAGACGCCTTTGCACGCGCACACGCACGCACACCTACACGGACACCTACACTCACACCTACACGCACACCTCTGCATACACACGCACACACACACAGACACACCCACACACACACACACCGGCACACACACACACAGACACACACACACACAGACACAGACACGCAGACGCGCACACACACACACAGACACACGCACTACACACACACAGACACACGCACTACACACACACACAGAAACACGCACAGACACGCCACACACGCACATATACACGCCCAAACACCCAGACGTGCACGCGCACGCGCACGCGCATGCCCCCACACTCACACGCACATCCACACGCACGCAGGTGCACACGAACATGTACACGCGCACGCACTCGCACACCAACACCGGCACACACAGGCACACACACACAAACGTAGGAGCGAGGACCTCAATATGCATCCATGGAGTTGCTGATTTGCTTTCTGCCGGGGCCTGCCGCCGTGTGTGCAGATTCTGCCACTGGGGTAAGTTGCATGCTGACGTCTGCGCTTTCACTAGGCATCCTGTTTGCCTTTGCACCATGCTAAGTAGAACAGAGCTGTTGCCTTCAAGGAGAGTGAACGCGTCCCGGGAATTCAATAGTATGGCCGCTTCCTGTGTCCGAGCCATGGGTCATGTCAGATGTTTGGACTGTTGTCAGGACACATTGAGCTCACAGGCATGTCATACTGTCGATGGACGAAATCCTGCACCACCTGAGAAGCTCTGGTTTATGATGATTCCCCTGTGATTACCAACAAACGCTCTAGTTTCCCGTGGTTTCCAAGTGGTGCGAAATGGATTTCGCAACCATCCACAGTATCAGCAAAGGTTTGCTTGGGAGCTTGGGAGCTGGAGGCTTGATGGCATTTGGAAGCTTTGGGAGCGATGCGCCAGCTGAAAAGGGACTGGGTGCTAGTGCCTATCGGTTTTGTATGGCGATTAGCAGTTTCTTTCCTCCATTTGCATTGTGGTCCTTGGCAAGCTGCATTGTTTGGGGCTGGATCAAGCTTGGCCGGCCAGTCCAATCTGGGGCACCCTCACCCCTAGGGCCCCTTGGCGGGCGAGCCAATCGAATCTCTGCGTCTTGGCGGCAGGGCATCGATCGTTTTTGTTGAGACCTTTGCTTTCCGGCTTTGCATAGACTCGATGCCCGGTTGGGCCGTTGAAATTGAGTGCCAAGGAGAGCGAACAACCTGGCCAGGGGCTGAGCACCGATTTCGCCACTTGATGAGATCAATGATGCAGTCGGCACGTTCAGAGCAAGTCTGGTCAAACCTCACGCAACGAGTATTGTTTTGCAGAGTTTTGGTCAGCTTGGATTGATCTCTAGTCTGAGGTCACAACATGTATGGCTCAGCAGGCAGGGTTCTCCGTCGAGCCGCAGTGGACTTTGCTATCACGGTCTTATATCGATGTTTGGCTTTTTGCAGCTGCAGGTCATCTCCAGTACCAGTATCCAAAGCAGGCAGGACGGCTTACAGGATAATCCCGCATCAAAGAAAACACATTTGTTTGATTGTTTGTTTGGACCCGGCCAGAGCTCGATAGCTTGAAGCGGGTCGCAGTGAGCCAACGTGACAGTGCCATTGTCGCTTTTGCATTTTTTTTGCCTGCAATGTGGCGCTTGTCATTTGGGGATACCTTGCCCCCCCCCCGCCTTTTCAGCAAATTCCATCGGCGCGCCAAAGCACACTAGCCAATCTCAGGGCTTACATTTTACCACCCCCTCCCCCCCCCCCCCCACACCTTCCACCAACCAGCACCCGCAGTAAGGTAACAACCCCCCCTCAGGTCTTCGGTGGCCTGCCGGGGCCAATGAAGCCAGCGCCTGACACATTCCGAGCTTCACGACAGTGGGCCTTTTTTTTTGGGGGGACTTTGTGCCGGTTTGTATAGTGTGCCACTGGTAGTATTGTACCATTTGTACCATTCGTGGCGCTATTTATGCACCATTTCCAGTTGTATAGCAGAATGAGCTTGTTTTGCCAGTGGTCCTTGGTGTGATTTGCCACGAACGCATGATCCGAGCTGGGAAAGCCATGGCCGGTGATATGCAAATAATTTTTCCGTCCGGCTTTCTCAAGGACACGAGAGCCAGCGGTGACGCTACCCTTCCAGGCCGTGGGGTACTTATGGAATGCCCGTTGGCATTCAGACGCGAGGTGTGGTTTAAGACATGGCTTGGATCTAGAGAGATAGCCTGTCCAACGTAAAATCCAGCAGCTTCATTTTTGCAAGGAACATGGCACGTGGTCTTCCCGGACCCCGAAACGGGGCTCCATGATCGTGGGCAGGGACCGCGTTTTGGCTATTGAAGTTCGGCTGAGGTCTTCCTGAGCTGGCTGATCCCGGTGGCGGTCTTCTGTGTGGCCACGCCCTCAGCTGCTCTGAATGACAAAAACGCCATGGTCGATGTATTGGTGTGGCCCGTGGACCACGCGGAGTTGATTCACTTGGGGTCTTATGGCATCGCATGTTTTCCATGGAGAGCCTGACTGCAAGATGGTGTTTTGCGCATGTCTTGATGTGATTCTCTTCGCGCCATGTTTCAGACGGATTATTTGCCACAGATAGCTGAAAGAGGGCTGGAGGCTTGCAGACCCGCTTCTGCTTGCGGTGCAGGTAGCCGCAGACTGAGGTCTGGGGTTGCCGTGGACCATCCTGGTAGGAAGGTGTGTCGGGGTGTTGGCACGTACGATGACTCGTGCAGCAGGCCTCTGAGACATTGCTCTTCAGCTTTCTTGCACTAAAAGGTTTGGATGACCTTTCGTCCCCGGATTGCGCGCCCCAGTGGAATTTTGCTGTTTTGAGTGCTCTTGATGGTTGAAGCTTGCGTGGTCTGGGGGGTCAGGAGCGCTTGCATGAGTGTTTAAGTCACGCTTACTTGGCAAATTGAATGCGCCGCATCTCATAGTACCGGCTTGGGATGGTTAGGTTAAGAAGTAACTTTAAAGGAGTTGCCTTGTACTTTCTTCAACCTCAGATACGTATGCCAGGATTGCACATGTTTCTTACAGTATGAGTAGCGTCCGTTTGGTTTCTGTTTTAGGCAACCACAAAAAGGGCCATCTCAAACAGACACATGCGCGTTTACACTGAGGTGTCTGGAACAGCGCAGGGCTGCCCAGAGTGAACCTGGAGACTCACAGACAGACTGTCAGACAGCTGCAAATCCCCATGGGGAAGGCTCAAAGTTGATATTGTTTCGTGTTTGCGCTCGGCAGGCTACATCAGCACAAGAGGTAGGGTTGGGCTACACCCTATGCTCGCTTTCTCTAACTTGCCGCTTGCTGGGATTTTACTGATTTAAGTGGGACTGATTTCCAGAGCATCTTGGCGTAGTGTGTAGGATCAGTTGTTTGATCCTGAATTTCAGATGAAATGTGCGGAGTTTCGGCGAGTGCCGATGTCAGCGGAAATCTTTCGCCCGTGCACTTGCTCTTGGCAAGCTTGTGAATGTAGGCTTGCGACTCCATGAGGTTGCCTTGAACGAGTGCTAGGGCTTTCCTGGGCGTGGCTGCAATAGGTTTTTCGGCGTGGGTTGGCTTTGCCCCCTTTTGGGCTTGGTGTTGCGGTCCATAGCAAAAAGAGCTGCGCTGCGTTCCCGGATTTTGAACCTTGCGAGTGCAAGTGTTGTAGAACAAAGTTGAAGGGAGCATTCCTCACCTCTTGAGGAAGGTCCTTGAGTCATTGAGGCCTAGCACGGATGATGAATTATGGATTGGACAGGTCATCAGCCCTGCTGACCAACTACCCCGGGGTGGTCTATGCGATTTTCGCCCCGGAGCTCAGTGCGGGGTTTGTCGTGATCCAGGTTCCATGAAGTTGGATGCGAGTCGAGTTCCCCTTGCAAACTGCGATCGCTCTGCCAGAAGACGTGGCTCGTCTTTGTTTTGACCCTGTTTGGCTTGGTTTTGAAAGCCAAGAGGCCCCCCCCCCCATTTTTCCATTGGACTTCCCCATTCTTTCCAGGGATCCTTTTGTCCAGAAAACCATCAGGATTTCAGGGGAGACAGCTGGTTTTTGAAAAGAACGATGGTTGAGAAGAATGGGGAATCAACCCCTAGAAATTTTGGGGTCCCGCCTATTTTGAGACACACTTATGCGATCGCACGGACTCCGATCGCCGAGACCTTGGTGGCTCTGGGCTATGTGCTGACCCTCCACATTGTCTCCTTGATGCTACGGAGGCCTGGTTCCAGCGCATGGCTGTGTAAAGGAAGAGCTTGTACAAACAGCAGATTTGAGTGGTGGAACCGGCATTTATGTAGTTCGTATGTGTGTGTGTGTGTGTGTGGCACCGGAGCGCTCTGTTGAATGTGACGCCACTTGTCTAAGTCTCTCCGGCGCCCGAAACTGTCTGTGAATTGGAAGCTTCGGCTCTTCCAAGCAGCTTGGGCGGTCATTTGTGTTGAGGGCTAGACTCAATTGCCGACGTTCACTTTTTGATGTGTTGGATTGTTTAGCCAAGGAAGAGCATTGCAATAGCAAAAGGCAACAATCGCTGAACATGTTGCCAGCCAGGGATCCATTGACCAAACGCCTGCGATGGGGCTCCCATGTCAGGTACTTGACCGGCAGAACGTCGGGCACATAGACCGCGTGTAAGTTTGCAAGAAGGCTGTTTGAATCAAAGCTGCTCAGGAAAGTGTTCCCGTTCTGGTACGTGTTTCTGGCTCTGGGCTCAGCGAGCAAGTCTGAGAGTTCCATCAACGCAATCAATCTGAGGCTTTGGGCAGTAGCAACTCATTCAGAATGCCTAAGCCTATGCATTGCCCGAGGCGAGTGCCCTGACAGCAGCTGTGATCTCGTCGATGTGGTTCTCTCACGTGACGCACGGCTTAAGAGAAGCCAACTGCCCCGTCCACCCCACTTTATGTGCATAGCCTTGCACAGCGTGAGATCTAACCGTGTGACCACGCCCGAGGAATTACACGAAGAATCAGATCGCGTTGGGGCCCTCAAAGCATTCCGCCTTCTCGGCCTCTCGAGCGGCGCCATGTCGGGCTATCCTTCCCAGATAATTTGGCAGAAGGTGCAGCGTGATGGATGCGTTGTCTTTGCAATGAGCTCAAAGACTCAAAGCCCGCCTTTTGAATGCCGTGGCTTTTAGATCCCCCCAAAATGGCTTCGGTTTTCCTTTTGGTTTGCCTTTGACACCAACCAAAAGGCGGTTGGGTCAAAGAGCCTTTCTTTGAGGTTCGGTGGCAACCAGCCCATACAGAGCACACCTTCCCTAGAATCGGAAGAGATGCTCAGAACTGCTGCGTACCTCCTTAACATGAGCCACAAGCTTTAACACCCGCTAGCTTTGTGGGGATGTCACGCAAATCTCATGTTTTGTTAAACATTTCGGGACGAACTACAACCTTTTATTCGAATCCGCACCGTGCTTTGCATTGCCTCTGTTCACCGGTGCTCCAGGCTTGAGGCTGTGGCAATTGTGACACAGAGGTCGGACACGCTGAAACGCCTGGCCACGGCGAGCAACGTGGTCAGCAACTGAGATGCCACCGAGCTGAGTCAGTTACATCAGCAACATTTGCGAGATGCAAGTGCGTACTGTTGAGGACCCTGCAATAGACTCCAGCTCAAGATATCTTGACATTGGCAGTGCTGCACTTAGCCCTCCAACGGTTCGTTGGCCTACCATTGTCTGATGATCAGCCCGACGATAGACATTATGATCGGCCGATATCAACGATCATTGACTGTAACAAAGATTGGGCACACTGTCAAAGTTACGCATTTGACAATTTGGGTTTGCTGGTCAACATCCACTGTGGCACAAAGTTTGGTGCGGGATAGTCATGTGGTTTGTCGACAACAACGCTGTTTCCGTTTCAACGACCAGCTTGGGATGACAGACACATGTCTCATCTGGTCGGAGCTTTACAATCATTTGACGCGCACTGTTCATTCCAGAGCCGCATCAGTTCGCCCGCCAAGGAATACTATTTGCCCCCGGCACTACCTTAGACCTGCAGAAGTTCATAGGCTAGAGCGGAGGGTAGGGCAGGCTGTCACTGTTACTTTGTTCGGGGTATGCTCTGGCATGGATACTTCCACGCACTGCTAGTTGCAGCTGAAGGCTTCAAGAACAAAGACATCTACTGTGTGGCACCCATCGTCAACCCGAATGCGTCCAAGGCACAATCGCATGCAGTGGCCAGACCACATTTTTTTTGCAGCACCAGCTGTCTTCAGAATCATGTTGGTTTCGCAGGCAAGCATTTTATTTTGAGCCAATGTATCAGATGAGATGGGGTGTATATATATATATATTTATTTATTTATTTCTCCTGCAATGAGCCGGACTTTGGACGCGCAGGTGGACAGCTACGATTACTGGGCTGTGGGGCTGAACTGCTGGCCAGCTCCCCGGAGCTCGGGAGTCGCTCGCCTCTCGGGTTTGGTCTCATTTCGGCATGGCTCGTATTGAACGAGCTGGGGTTACCTTCTGGAAGTTTGGGATGAAGGGACAGAGAGGAAGCCAAAGCGTTGGATCCATGATCTCGGTATCCAGTCAGCGCCTGGAAAGATCCGACGCTCAAAAGCCAGACATGTGATGCTTGCAACCATGTGGCTATGGGTCAAAACTCCGTACCCCCAGTGAACATCCCGATCCCCACTAAAGTAGACTAAAATGAGTGGTGCACCTACCCCAAACTGGTACCATTGGTTTTGACCCACAGCCATGTGAGCTCTCTCAGCACACAACTTCGAGCTACCGTTTTCTGAACTGGCGCCGCCAGCGACGCCAACGGCTTCCGCTGTGGGGAGTACACCAAGCCCACTGCGCGCGCCAGCTCAGAGCGTGGGCTGGCAGCCAGCTTTGGGCGGGGCATGTGGGTGGCTCAACATTAAACAGGAGGAGTTACGCAGGTTTTGGTCCATGTTTCCACTTAGGGTTCCAGTTTGGTACTGGTTTTTTGAGCCGCAGCCTTGTCGGTGATGTAGGCCATCTTGGTGCGAACCGCTGAAGCGAGCTGAGCCAACTTGGACACTTTGGGAGTAGAGTGTGGCCTGCTGACCGGGTCAATTCTCACCGGCTTTCCATTGATCAAACACAGCAAGCGAAGCGAAGGCGAAGTGGTGTGCGACTTCTGAATGAGGTGGCGATCTTGGAACTCAGTGTCGTTTGCCCATGTTTTTGCCTCGATACCCTTGCTGCTGGTGGACTGCATTGTACTTTGGGCAGCTTGGGCGGCAAACAAACTGTTACTTGTTAGTGCAAAGCACCCAGAGTATTGCTTCCACTGAGGGTTTTTGTATTACACCCTGGGATTACATCCTTGGGTAATGACCCAGAATGATACAAAATAACACGGTTTTGTCCGGAAATGTGCCTAAATGGGGTCAATACCCAGTGGGTGTATTCCCAGGGTGTAATACAAAAACCCTTAGGTTCCATGCCAAGCTGCTCCTTTGGCTGAGGAGCAACGCCAGTTCTACGTCCTGGCCCTTCGCGAGGCGGAGGCCGGGGAGTTCTGGAACGCTTCGCGTTGCCCGCCTCCGCCAGTCCGCTTTTGGCTAGCTTTGAGGTATACACCGTCACCGTGCTTTGGTTTGCCTTGAAGTCTTGTGTTTAGGCGAATATGCAGGAGTTCTCCTTTGGGGGGAAATGAACCCCTGGGTTTAGGTTACCTGTCGGGGCAGGCAAGCAGTGGAACCCTGCGTCCAAGCACTTGACGCCGTTGGAGTCGCCAGTAGTTGTGCCGGAAGGCTTGGAAGTGGTGGGTGAGCAACTCGAACGCAGGCAACCTTTGGCATCAAGTCCACTTTGCCGCTCTTCTTCTTCTGGGTGGAGGACGGTCCCGATTCGGGTGGCTGCTTTTTATAGGGAGCCCTCTTTTTTGGGGGGTCTTCAGGGGGCACCAAAAGGAAAGGGGCATCAAACATCCGTTTCGCGCAGCCCCCAGCAGGCGCCCTTCACCGGAGCTTTTTTTGGCGAGGACTCGGAAGCGCTGCAGAAGTCCTGGCAGGAGAGGTGAGTGTGCCTTCCCAAACAAGGGTATCCCTTCGCGTTGTTTTGAAGGAAAACGGCAGACACACGCATCTTGGAGGCTCCCCTATTTGGAACAAACTCTTGTGGACGAAACTTGCGCAATATGGCATGCAAGGGATCCGATCACGTTCTCCTACGCCGGAGCCAAGCATGTTTTGTTTCTTACAACCAGCAAGAGGTTAATGTTCAAGCCCTTGCAGTTACACTTGGCTGAGCATGCTGTTAGTACAAACAGTGCTGGCTGCATGACTGTGCTTTCTGACTGTGCTTTCTGACTGTGCTCCTTGACTGTGCCAGTATAGCAACCTAATTTCGGGTGCCCTAATGCTAGCACTAACTGGTGCAGACTTAGGTTGCTGGGGGTTGCTACCGCTACTATTACCAATCAGTACGTTTGATTGTGGCTTTTTGCGTGTTGTATATCTTTGTTTACAATAGAGCAAAAGGCGTTTTTTGCCTTGTGTGAAATGCAGCATTCAATTCAGGGCAAGACGATTGAGTACTGCTTGCTGGCCGCGCTCACCTTTTCCGCCTTGTTGTTCGCGGCAGTAGCCTGGCTCTCAGAAGCCACACTCTTCCCCCCTTTTGGTGGTCTTAAAGGGAAACCACGAGGAAAACCACAATTTTGGATGTGCCCTACAAAAAGACACACCTACCTCATGTCATTGCGTTTCTTTGCAGCCATTTCTTCAATGGTTGACTTGCAGAGCAACAGAGCGCGCAGGTGGCAGGGGTCGTCTTCTTTGAGGTGTTCCTGGCAACCTGGTGAGGAGCACGCGGCATTGCACAATTTGCCTGGCAGCCTCGACACCGCCGTGGAGTGTTGAAATGGGATGTGACAAACTCCTTCGGGAAGTTAATGCAAGAGATCAGTGGCAGAATTGCCTGGCTGTCACTCGGAAGCGTCAAAATGAAGGTTTTGACCTGGCATGTTCCGCTTGTCTTGCTTGTCTCTTTGTGCACGCAGACGTGGATGAAGTCCATTGTGAGTATGCGAGCATGCGCCGCATCCTGACTGCTCAATGCAAGCTTTGTAAAAAAGGTCCATAATTTTGACATGGCACTGTGGAGCTATGGACCATACGCAAGAATGCAAAACTGGCCGAGCCGAAGCAGAGCGGCTTAGTATGCACTGGCTTCAAAAGGGGCCATGCTGCATAGTGTTAGGACTTGCAAATACAGCAGACCTGTACAACTTGAAAGAAGCAGCCTGCACAAGCCAAATTTCTCTTGCGGCAAGCATGGACCTGGATGGCTCCTTTGCAGCATTTCCATGCTGCATTGAGCATGCGATCATGTATTCCATCAGCTCCAATACCCAAGGCATACCGCAATCGCAGCTTGCCATGCCCCGTGCGGCGGGGGGCACTCGGATGTTGTCACGCTGGTTACGGCACATAGCGGGGCTTTCACGCCCTTCCTGTGTCGGCGGGCTGAAGCAGTTTGGAATCCGAGGCTCGCACAACTGGATATGTGTCACAAATGCAGGGCCCACCGAAAAACTTTTTTTTTCTTCCTCTGTTTCCTCTTCAAACCTTTGCTTGACCCCGGTTGGCTTCTCGTGTTCTCAGGCCCCGGAAGTGCCAGAGCACAGGCACGTCGCAAGGATCCAGGATCTTTTTGGGCATATCATCAATCGCAGTCCAATCCCCGCAGCTGGGCCCAAAGATGAATGAGGCAAGTTGAACCGGGATGTATGGCTGTGGGTCAAAAATAGGTCCCCAAAATGGAACCCTTGTAAGAGGAAACATGGACTAAAAGATGCGGTCCCCTGGTAGTTTCATTTTGACCTACAGCCATATACTAGCTGAACTGCTCTTATCACCTGACTCACTTGATCAAATTCCAAACAGTTTCAAAGGTCAAGCTGTATACTAACATGGCTGCTTTCTCACTTGACTCACTTGAGATCAAATTCCAACCAGTTTCAAAGGCCTTGAAGATGGATCAGCTTGGCTCTGGGAGCTACAGAGTACTGAGCGCCATGCCGCTGGTACATTTGCAGAAGGACGAGGCAGGAAGATGACATGTTCGCTTCAATAGAACTAGCTGCATGGACTTCATGGACAGGGAGCGGGCAGACTAAGACATTTGTTGAGACTATGGCTGTTGGGCTGCTCCGCAGTCAAGGTGGATGATCTTGTTGGGCAATTGGTGGATTCCTTCCGTGAGGCTTGGCGAGTTCGGGCTTACCGTGAGTCGAGACAGCTTGTGGCCAGCTACTGGATCTAGCAGTGAGCAAGCTACACAATCGTCTCTCTGTTCTGAGGGATCTCACATGCGTTGGGCTCCCTGATTGGCCCTGATTTTGTGTACAGGGTCTGCTGGACTGGCTTGTTGCACTGTGAGGGCGTGCTGCAATTCATCGGTGAGCTGGACATGAAGCTGCAGCCCCTCGGCCACTGCTTGGAGCCAATGTCTTGCGATTCGGTCCGCCTTGTGACTCAGTGAGATCTGAGGAGTGAGTTCCAATCCTTGGAGCAGAAAGAGACGCAATTGCGAGTTGACCCTTGGCATGATACGGGCCTGATACGGGTGTGTCTTTTTTGGAGGGTGCCCCTTTTCGGTGCCTTTCAAGGGGAATCACCAGGAGAACCACTCTTTTGGGTCCACTAAGAAAACACGAGCCACCCATACGGCACAGCATGACATGGCGAAACCTCAACTGATCAGAATTGATGCTGCCGGAATGGAGGCCCACGCATGTTTCATGCTGTGACGCAAGGAACGCCAAGCGCTTGATGCGATGCGGAAGTCCTTGCAGGAGGCAGGGTGAATGTGCGTGTGTGCAATCATGTTTTCCCACATAGGGGTTGATCAGGGTTCTGTTCGGCCCAAATGACCATGTTTCCCATCAGTGGTTGAAATATCAAATCTTTTTAGTGGTTTCCCAAACAATGGTCATCCTATGTTCATCGGACCTTTTGATCAACCCCCACATGTTTGAGTCCATTCTTTCTGCTGCTCCAGTGCCAGCGCTCACAAGTTGAGAAGGCAAGGCATCTTCACATTTGTCTCAGCCTGGCAGGACACGGCAGAGACTTGCAAATCCAAGAGCGGCAGGCGCTCTCGCCATCGATTCCAAAGCCCTTTGCCGTGCGTTGCCGGACGCAGACTGGGACGGGCATGAGAGAGATGTGCAGGCCGAAGGGCCCACAGAAAGTGCGATTCTTCGAGCTGGACCCGGAGAAGGACCCGGAGGTTGGAGACTTCTTGGTCAAAGCGTCCTGGCGGATGAAAAGGGGGGAAAGGGGGTCCAGACTCGATCCGGATGAAAAAGAGTCGGGACCGTTGGAGCCTGGTGACCTTTGCCTGAGACGCCCCGCGTCCATTCGTGCTCCACATGAGGGTACCTGCGATGGCTTTGGCTTGAACCCCTTCTAAAGACGACCCCAAGTTATGAACGTGCGAAAATTATCCAGTTCAGCTTCTGACCTTGCTTCAGACCAGACCTTTTCAATTTCGGCCATCCTTCAAAGCAAAAGAGGTAGAGAGGAAGAGAAAGAGAGAGCGAGAGAGAGAGAGAAAGAGTTTGGGGCAACGGCAAGCTGCAACACTAAGTAGGAGCCATGCGCCGAAAACGCCGCCGCTTTGAATTGCGTCCTGGCTGTTTGGTCAGGCTTCGGAGGTAGAAACCAGCTCTGCCAGTCCCACTGGAGAGGCGCGGGAATTTTGTGAGTCGCAGTTTGCTGAAACACTCGATGTCTTGGAGGTGGGGGGCCGTTCCATGTCCTGTCATGTTACACTGCGCAGCACTCATGTCTTGGAGCAAGAGGAAGTTGAAGCCCTTCACAACGTTTGGGGCGAGGCCACGTTTCAGCGGCAAGGCGCCTTGGCTGCAGCAAAATCACTCCTTTTGCATTCGCGAAGCCCGCTTGCCGACAGGTGGGCCACGCACCTGCATTCGGGCGCCAAAGCCGTGGGAAGTGGCGGCCTGGCAGAAGTGGGGTGGCTCGTTTTCTTTTTTGGGGGGTAGCCCTTTTCTTATGGTTGTACAGGACAAAAAACAATAAAACACCATTCTGGGGGTATTCTATAAATGACACACCCATGTCTTTCGCGAAAGGTGCGCTTGCAAAATAAAATGGGATGCCTTTGCGTAGCACCAGTTTCTTGGTGTGCGTCAGACCATTGCGTCAAGCATCTCACGCGGTATGAGGTGTCATTCGCTGGCCAAGACTATGCCGTTCTGCTCCTTTGCTGCAGATATCAAACAACAGCTGAAAGGCACTCAACACCTCAGCTCGTGCGCACATTGGCCAGTGGCAAGTGCACTCGAACCTGCCTAGGCCGCCCAAGCGACCCGATGAGCAGGACGTTGCCTGAATTCCTTGATCACTTGGCTTTTCAGAAGTCGGCTAATGGGTGGACTCTGCTTTCTGGGTGAACATGGTAAACCAAACTTCTGATTTGCTTTGGATCCAATGCAACATGTCGTGAATGCTGCCATTTGCTTATTGACTTCAGCCAGTAGACTGCAGCTGAAGCACTCAGGATGGAAGCTCCCAGCTGCCGCATTGAACATTCAGAAAAATACACTGGACCGCATACAGCAATTGTTAGTGTGACATGAATTTAGAGCTGACATATTTATCAGTGGTTGAGGGCTTCAGCATTTTCAACTGATTGCTCATGTGGATGCGTCTGTTTGCCTTTCTTGGTTGGCTTGAATGGAAATGAAGGGGAACCCCGCCATTTGTGGGGGTCCGCCCAACAACCGGACACACCCATGTAGAGGGTCACGTATCTTCCTCATTTGCTTCCTCTCCATGGAGGCCCCCCTTGTTCTCGAGGACCGCGAGCGCCTCAAGAACTGCACAGTGGCAGTTCCTGAGGGTTGGGAGCTTCTCTCCACCAGCGCGGCTCGGCCCGTTCCATGAGGGCGGCGTTCCACGGTGCAGTGATCGATTCCCTGGACTCACGAAGTCATGCCAGCAGTCTTTTTTATATACTGAGGCCCAAAATTTCAGCTCCGTTGTGGAAGAGCTGACGCTGGGCGATTCAAGTGCTCAGTGTATGAATCTGCATGATAAAGAAATTGTTTCTCCCGTTATTCCGGGATGGCGACTCAATGCGTGACACAAAGTGAGCAATGAAATGTGGCAGACGTTTCTGAGGACAAAGCACAAATGGGGCAGCCCGCTGCTTGCTGTGCAATGCCAAAGTCAGCCGCGGCTATTTGCCACTTATCGGACACTTCTATCGACCAGCGGAAATCCGGGATCCAGGCGAGCCCGGAGCACCACTTGTGGAGATGTTAGAGCTCTAAGGTCGACAAGCAAGCATGGTAGAGCTCTAAGGGTACCCATTTTCATTGACAAGCAAGCCCAAGGGCCAAGAAAGGGCTCGGCCCCTTAACCAAACACAGCTTTCACGGATCTCGTCGATTCGAGGAAATAGAACCAGCTTCACCAGGTGGTGTTTCAGGACTTGAGCCATGACTTTGGCTAATCGGACTCCAGGTATCGCTCAGGATCCAGGCACGTGGTCAATGCGGGCGAGCCAGCCTCCAAGGACCGGTGGATGCCGTTTCTGAAGTACATAATTGCGTAAACCCTCCGGCCGGCTTCAGTCAAGGCGTTGTGAAGAGCCCGACTTGCGTTTGGCAGAGGCGGCATGGCTTCTGCCGCGCAGAATGGGCCGAGACAGAGAGTTCGTTTGACACGGGCAGGATGGCAATCTCCGCTTTTGCCATGAGTTTGGTCGCTTGGTGGCTTGGCTAAATTGGTTTGTTGATCGGTGCGCCTGGATATATCTCAATCGGCCAGGCTTCAGGTAGAAGCACTTTGATTGTGCAAACGCGTCAACAGGCACCATGTCAACAGGCAACGCGACTTGTTAGCAGCAGAGACGAAGCAAATGCCGGCCGAGGTGATTCGAAGAAAACAGTCCAGCTCGCAAGTCATCAAGTGTGACACAGAGTGAGTTGCACGGATTTGAGCCTTCGCAGCGGAACCAGACCTGCCGCAGTGGCTTCTTGAAGTCTGTCGCTGAACGCAGCTGCTTATGTTCTGTCACAACTAGTGACCTTTGGTGGAAATCACTTGCGTAACAAATCTGAGCCTGCGTGCTCTATGTTTCTTTGCATTGACATGTCTCACAGGGACAAGTCAGTGTGCAGACTTCAGTCGCCATCTATGGGACGTGCCCCCAACCTGGGGGCACACCACTCACATCCCTCGGGCAGCACCAGGTGGTGTGCCCATGTGCGCAGATTCGGGAGAAGTCGCGACAAGCTTGTGCTTGCCGTCGATTGGCTTACCCCAAATCTGCGCTGGATACATTGAAGCAGATCTGAGTGCGGGAGCGACCACATCAGCTCGCCTCCTTCATCGCAGATGCACATGACAGGCCAGGCAGAGAGTGCAATCGCACACGTATTGGCAACCAAGGAAAGCGCAAGCAGACGTGTATTGTGTTGTTCTCGGCTTGTGTCAACCGCACCTACTGTTAGACCATTCAAGCATTTCTTTGAGGGTCCGATCCAATTCTCAAAGTTTCAGTATGCTCCCTGCCTTCTCCTAGTCTTCCTGCTCGCCGAAATTATTATGCCACGTTTTGCGAATGGTGAAGTGGCCATGCCTCCTGAGCTATCTGGCTGTGGCTCAAAATTCGCGACTTGGGGTTAAGCAGGTTTTACAGCCAAGTGTCAAAGTGATGCTGGGAGATCGCACAGGGAGTTTCCACAAAAATGCGGGGTATCATAGTATCAACCCTAGAAGGAGACTCTACCATTCAGAGCTGGTGAGACATCTTTCGAGGCGTCATCTCATGCTCGGGACAAATGGAGCATCAAATTTTAAAGCTGGCCTTTGGGAGTGTTTCAGACTCCAGGCAAGCAAGTTTTGTGTTGGAGGAGGGCCAACCTTGCTAGGGCAAGGAGTTTTTGGAGTGCACGGGCTGCCAGTATTGAGCAGCTTTGGTGGTCAAGCTGCACCGCGGCAACGCGAGTTGTTGAGTGTGCCATGGACCGCTCTTGTGACCACCGAGCACTTCTACTCATCCTTGTGGAAGCCGAGAGCAGTCTTCTTGCGGTGCCTACATTTGATTGTTGACGCCCAGTTTCTAATGCAGTTGAATGACTCAGCACTTGCCAATTGAACGCTGCAGGGTATTCTTTTTTATATGTCCCAGCAATTTGTAGGAGCTCAATGACACCGCATGTTCTTTCTTGATGGTGTGCGTTCGCTCGTGTGTGCGTGCCTGCGTGCGTGCGTGTGTTTGTGTGCTTGCTTGTCTGCTTGTTTGGTTGTTTGCTTGCTTGCTCGCTCGCTTGAATTGATTGTGTTTTGGTTTCTGTTTGCTTGCTTGCTTGTTTGCTTGCTTGCTTCCTTGTTTGCTTTGTTTGTTTGCTTTGTTTGTCTGCTTGCGTGCTTGTTTGTTTGTTTGTTTGTTTGTTTGTTTGTTTGTTTGTGGTTTTCGTAGTTTGATTGTATGCTTGTATGTTTTTGTTTTTTTTTTTTCTCGTTTGTTTGTCTGTCTGTCTTTCTGTCAGTTAGTCTGTCGGTCTATTTCTCTGTCTTGTTTTTTTTTTTTTTACATTATCTTTCTTTCTTTTTTTTCTTTTTTTCTTCCATGGTCTGTCTTTTTTTTTGCTTGCTTGTTTGTTTGTTTGGTTGGTTGTTTGTGGGATGTTTGTGGGATGTTTGTGGGATGCTTGCAGCCTTCTCCTAGGCACGATGTTTTTGGACCTGAATTGTTTTCACTGTCAGTGATATTTGGTTTTTCGACCAGATTTGTGCGGCGCTGAAGGCTGCTTATGCCCAATTGGACGGTTAGATTGGCTTTGCTTTGCAAAGCCATGGGTCGGTGGCAAACGTGTCCATCCCCCACGTTACAAGAGGCAAGTTCCCACCAGGCCATTCCACCGCCCCAGCTATGTTCCTCTGGGCAGGCCTCCTTCGCTTAAAGCTTTTCAGTGGTGGATCACAAGGTGGTTCATCCCTACGGCTGGAATGTGTACAGTAAGGCGATTGTTTTTTCTTCGTGCTGGAGTGGCAAAAGCGGGACAAAGTGCATGCTTCACAAGCTCCCTTGCATGGGTGCGGGATGTGACCGGCCTGCGGCAGTGTTGAGCACAATTGACTGCATACTTTGCGAGTCCTGCATATTGAACGACACCTGATGAAGATTTTGCTTGCTGCTGTGGTTTGCTTTATGTATGATGTCTCATCACACGTCTTCCACAAAGTAGCCCTGCATATTCTAACGCTTTCAAGGGAGTAGATGCATCGCAGAGAGCCGCTCTGCCTTCCCTTGCGCAGAGCCAGGCAGTAGCCACAGTACCAGAAGACCAAGCAGGCCATGCCCATCAAGGCGAGCCGCTGTTCCTGAGACCGCTGGATACTTCATATTCTACAAGATTCATTGACTAACATGATGGCCACGCAAGAAGCGGGAGCGCTTTTTGCGTGTTTGCTTTAGATAGATCGCAACAAGTGTCGCTGGGTCAACCGCCTCAGCTTTTTCGATGCCTTGCCAGGCCTGAAGAGGGACGAGAGGCCAGAGACACCGGAACAGTCCATGGACCATGCCATAGCCATCGATGGGCACGAATCGGTGTCGATCACGAAAGGTTCACTGCAAAGTCGTCTAGCTTGTCACACACATATACAAACAACTGCAAACACTGGCACTAAAGCCAGAAGCACGGCAGCAAGCACTACAGCAACGATGAGGACACAAATACACACAAAGACACAGGTGCGCACAAACCGACTACGCACAGATGCAAACATACAGTCAAACGTACACGCGCAGACCAACACGAATGCAAATGCAAACCGACACCCAAGCACAGACGCGAACACGCCCGCACGCACACACAACCACAACTGCGGCCACGATGACCAGCACAAACACGACCACTACGAACACAAATCCAGCCGCAAATAACAACACAAACACACACGCACACAGACACGTGCATGAACATAGACGCAAGCACAAGCACAGACACAGCTACTACCAATACAACACAAGCACAAAGCCTGACGCATTCATAAACACAATGAACAAATAAACAAGCGCAATCCCACATACACCCCAACCTACACAAGGGCACATGCCAACACCCAAAACTCACCAGATCAACTTCTCGAGGCTCGGACGCGGGAGAGGGCACGGCGTCTGGGCTGGCTTGCCAGAGGCACGAGAGAGATTCATTGGATCGGGAAAGGGCAGAGTTGCTACGTGGCACCCAGCCATCCGGTTCCTTAGCTGTTGTTTTTTCCCATTTTTTTTTAATGGTTGGTTTAGTGGTTGGGTTTCCACTGAATCCACTAGAAGTCAGTCACTGTTAGCAGAGGATCCGGGGACAGAACTGTGTCAAGTGACTTGTCACCATCGCTCAGTCCGATGCCACTCAGTCAGCTTGTCTTGGGCGCGCAGCTTAAATCCTTGCTGTGATTCATGGTGCTGGCAATTGCCCAATCGCAGATCGCAACTGGCAGACGGGACCCAAGACTCTAAGCTTGCTTGCCGCACTTCGCGCATTTTGCCTGGCATCATCTGGCAATGGGTCAAACCCCCAATCGTACCCCCAGTGAACATCCCAATCCCCACTAAAATAGGTTCTAACATGGGTGGTGAATTCACCTATCGACCAAAATGGTACCAAAACGGTGTTGACAACCACGCCATATTTCGCGAGCAACGGCCAGCTGCGACCAAAACGCGCTCCAAGGCCGTCTTCCAGTTCTGGGCTCGAGGCGCTGCGGTGCGGCGCGGAGGGCTCAAAAAGTGTGAGGCAAGCCATCAGCTGCGTTTTTGCTCATGGAATAGTTCTTTCCACTGGACAGGCTTGGCCAGGTGTTTGTCTGAACAAGGGTCTTTTGCTTATTGTTTGAGTAGTTCTTTCCACTGGACAGGCTTGGCCAAGTGTTTGTCTGAACAAGGGTCTTTTGCTTATTGTTTGAGTAGTTCTTTCCACTGGACAGGCTTGGCCAAGTGTTTGTCTGAACAAGGGTCTTTTTGCTTATTGTTTGAGTAGTTCTTTCCACTGGACAGTCTGGGCCAAGTGTTTGTCTGAACAAGGGTCTTTTGCTTATTGGTTGAGTAGTTCTTTCCACTGGACAGGCTTGGCCAAGTGTTTGTCTGAACAAGGGTCTTTTGCTTATTGTTTGAGTAGTTCTTTCCACTGGACAGGCTTGGCCAAGTGTTTGTCTGAACAAGGGTCTTTTGCTTATTGTTTGAGTAGTTCTTTCCACTGGACAGGCTTGGCCAAGTGTTTGTCTGAACAAGGGAACAAGGGTCTTTTGCTTATTGTTTGAGTAGTTCTTTCCACTGGACAGGCTTGGCCAAGTGTTTGTCTGAACAAGGGTCTTTTGCTTATTGTTTGAGTAGTTCTTTCCACTGGACAGGCTTGGCCAAGTGTTTGTCTGAACAAGGGTCTTTTGCTTATTGTTTGAGTAGTTCTTTCCACTGGACAGGCTTGGCCAAGTGTTTGTCTGAACAAGGGTCTTTTGCTTATTGTTTGAGTAGTTCTTTCCACTGGACAGGCTTGGCCAAGTGTTTGTCTGAACAAGGGTCTTTTGCTTATTGTTTGAGTAGTTCTTTCCACTGGACAGGCTTGGCCACGTGTTTGTCTGAACAAGGGTCTTTTGCTTATTGTTTGAGTAGTTCTTTCCACTGGACAGGCTTGGCCAAGTGTTTGTCTGAACAAGGGTCTTTTGCTTATTGTTTGAGTAGTTCTTTCCACTGGACAAGCTTGGCCAAGTGTTTGTCTGAACAAGGGTCTTTTGCTTATTGTTTGAGTAGTTCTTTCCACTGGACAGGCTTGGCCAAGTGTTTGTCTGAACAAGGGTCTTTTGCTTATTGTTTGAGTAGTTCTTTCCACTGGACAGGCTTGGCCAAGTGTTTGTCTGAACAAGGGTCTTTTGCTTATTGTTTGAGTAGTTCTTTCCACTGGACAGGCTTGGCCAATTGTTTGTCTGAACAAGGGTCTTTTGCTTATTGTTTGAGTAGTTCTTTCCACTGGACAGGCTTGGCCAAGTGTTTGTCTGAACAAGGGTCTTTTGCTTATTGTTTGAGTAGTTCTTTCCACTGGACAAGCTTGGGCAAGTGTTTGTCTGAACAAGGGTCTGTTGCTTATTGTTTGAGTAGTTCTTTCCACTGGACAGGCTTGGCCAAGTGTTTGTCTGAACAAGGGTCTTTTGCTTATTGTTTGAGTAGTTCTTTCCACTGGACAAGCTTGGCCAAGTTTTTGTGTGAACAAGGGTCTTTTGCTTATTGTTTGAGTAGTTCTTTCCACTGGACAGGCTTGGCCAAGTGTTTGTCTGAACAAGGGTCTTTTGCTTATTGTTTGAGTAGTTCTTTCCACTAAACAAGCTTGGCCAAGTGTTTGTCTGAACAAGGGTCTTTTGCTTATTGTTTGAGTAGTTCTTTCCACTGGACAGGCTTGGCCAAGTGTTTGTCTGAACAAGGGTCTTTTGCTTATTGTTTGAGTAGTTCTTTCCACTGGACAAGCTTGGCCAAGTGTTTGTGTGAACAAGGGTCTTTTGCTTATTGTTTGAGTAGTTCTTTCCACTGGACAGGCTTGGCCAAGTGTTTGTCTGAACAAGGGTCTTTTGCTTATTGTTTGAGTAGTTCTTTCCACTGGACAGGCTTGGCCAAGTGTTTGTCTGAACAAGGGTCTTTTGCTTATTGTTTGAGTAGTTTTTTGCCACTGGACAAGCTTGGCCAAGTGTTTGTCTGAACAAGGGTCTTTTGCTTATTGTTTGAGTAGTTCTTTCCACTGGACAGGCTTGGCCAAGTGTCTGTCTGAACAAGGGTCTTTTGCTTATTGTTAGCAGGCTTGGCCAAGTGTTTGTCTGAACAAGGGTCTTTTGCTTATTGTTTGAGTAGTTCTTTCCACTGGACAAGCTTGGCCAAGTGTTTGTTTGAACAAGGGTCTTTTGCTTATTGTTTGAGTAGTTCTTTCCACTGGACAGGCTTGGCCAAGTGTTTGTCTGAACAAGGGTCTTTTGCTTATTGTTTGAGTAGTTCTTTCCACTGGACAAGCTTGGCCAAGTGTTTGTCTGAACAAGGGTCTTTTGCTTATTGTTTGAGTAGTTCTTTCCACTGGACAGGCTTGGCCAAGTGTTTGTCTGAACAAGGGTCTTTTGCTTATTGTTTGAGTAGTTCTTTCCACTGGACAAGCTTGGCCAAGTGTTTGTGTGAACAAGGGTCTTTTGCTTATTGTTTGAGTAGTTCTTTCCACTGGACAAGCTTGGCCAAGTGTTTGTCTGAACAAGGGTCTTTTGCTTATTGTTTGAGTAGTTCTTTCCACTGGACAAGCTTGGCCAAGTGTTTGTCTGAACAAGGGTCTTTTTGCTTATTGTTTGAGTAGTTCTTTCCACTGGACAAGCTTGGCCAAGTGTTGTCTGAACAAGGGTCTTTTGCTTATTGTTTGAGTAGTTCTTTCCACTGGACAAGCTTGGCCAAGTGTTTGTCTGAACAAGGGTCTTTTGCTTATTGTTTGAGTAGTTCTTTCCACTGGACAGGCTTGGCCAAGTGTTTGTCTGAACAAGGGTCTTTGCTTATTGTTTGAGTAGTTCTTTCCACTGGACAAGCTTGGCCAAGTGTTTGTCTGAACAAGGGTCTTTTGCTTATTGTTTGAGTAGTTCTTTCCACTGGACAAGCTTGGCCAAGTGTTTGTCTGAACAAGGGTCTTTTGCTTATTGTTTGAGTAGTTCTTTCCACTGGACAAGCTTGGCCAAGTGTTTGTCTGAACAAGGGTCTTTTGCTTATTGTTTGAGTAGTTCTTTCCACTGGACAGGCTTGGCCAAGTGTTTGTCTGAACAAGGGTCTTTTGCTTATTGTTTGAGTAGTTCTTTCCACTAAACAAGCTTGGCCAAGTGTTTGTCTGAACAAGGGTCTTTTGCTTATTGTTTGAGTAGTTCTTTCCACTGGACAGGCGTGGCCAAGTGTTTGGCTGAACAAGGGTCTTTTGCTCATGTGTGGAAACGTTCTTTCCACGGGCCAAGTTTTTGGCCAAGTTTTTTTGCTCATTTTTGGAGTAGTTCTTTCCACTGGACAGGCGTGGCCAAGTGTTTGGCTGAACAAGGGTCTTTTGCTCATGTGTGGAATCGTTCTTTCCACTGGACAAGCTGGGCCAAGTTTTTGGCCACATTTTGTTGCTCATTTTTTAAGTAGTTCTTTCCGCTGGACAGGCTGGACCAAGTGTTTGGAGGATCAAGGGTCTTTTGCTTATTGTTTGAATAGTTCTTTCCACTGGACAAGCTTGGCCAAGTGTTTGGCTGAACAAGGGTCTTTTGCTCATGTTTGGAATCGTTTTTTCCACTGGACAGGCTGGGCCAAGTTTTGATCAAGTTTTTGTTGCTCATTTTTGGAGTAGCTCTTTCCACTGGACAGGTTTGGCCAAGTGTTTGGCTGAACAAGGGTCTTTTTCTCATTGTTTGAATAGTTCTTTCCACGGACAAGCTTGGCCAAGTATTTGGCTGAAGAAGGGCCTTTTGCTTATTTTTGGAATCGTTCTTTCCACTGGACAGGCTCGGCCAAGTGTTTGGCTGAACAATTGTCTCTTGCTCATGTTTGGAGTAGTTCTTTTTACTGGACAGGCTGGGCCAAGTTTTTGGCCAAGTTTTTTCTCTCATTTCTGGAGTAGTTTTTTCCACTGCACAGGCTTGGCCAAGTGTTTGGCTGAACAACGGTCTGTTGCTCATGTTTGGAGTAGTTCTTTCCACCTTTTACTTATTGTGTGAATAGATCTTTCCACTGGACAAGCTTGGCCAAGTGTTTGGCTGAACAAGGGTCTTTTGCTGCTTATTTTTGGAGTAGTTCTGGACAGGCTGGGCCAAGTTTTTGGCCAAGTTTTTGTTGCTCATTTTGGAAGTAGCTTTCCACTGGACAGGCTTGGCCAAGTGTTTGGCTGAACAAGGGTCTTTTGCTTGTTGTCTTAATAGTTCTTTGGACCCCTTTGCTTATTGTTTGAATAGTTCTTTCCACTGGACAAGCTTGGCCAAGTGTTTGGCTGAAGAGGGGTCTTTTGCTCATTTTTGGAATCGTTCTTCCACTGGACAAGCTTGGCCAAGTGTTTGTCTGAACAAGGGTCTTTTGCTTATTGTTTGAGTAGTTCTTTCCACTGGACAGGCTTGGCCAAGTGTTTGTCTGAACAAGGGTCTTTTGCTTATTGTTTGAGTAGTTCTTTCCACTGGACAAGCTTGGCCAAGTGTTTGTCTGAACAAGGGTCTTTTGCTTGTTGTTTGAGTAGTTCTTTCCACTGGACAAGCTTGGCCAAGTGTTTGTCTGAACAAGGGTCTTTTGCTTATTGTTTGAGTAGTTCTTTCCACTGGACAAGCTTGGCCAAGTGTTTGTCTGAACAAGGGTCTTTTGCTTATTGTTTGAGTAGTTCTTTCCACTGGACAGGCTTGGCCAAGTGTTTGTCTGAACAAGGGTCTTTTGCTTATTGTTTGAGTAGTTCTTTCCACTAAACAAGCTTGGCCAAGTGTTTGTCTGAACAAGGGTCTTTTGCTTATTGTTTGAGTAGTTCTTTCCACTGGACAGGCGTGGCCAAGTGTTTGGCTGAACAAGGGTCTTTTGCTCATGTGTGGAAACGTTCTTTCCACGGGCCAAGTTTTTGGCCAAGTTTTTTTGCTCATTTTTGGAGTAGTTCTTTCCACTTGACAGGCGTGGCCAAGTGTTTGGCTGAACAAGGGTCTTTTGCTCATGTGTGGAATCGTTCTTTCCACTGGACAAGCTGGGCCAAGTTTTTGGCCACGTTTTTTTGCTCATTTTTTAAGTAGTTCTTTCCGCTGGACAGGCTGGACCAAGTGTTTGGAGGATCAAGGGTCTTTTGCTTATTGTTTGAATAGTTCTTTCCACTGGACAAGCTTGGCCAAGTGTTTGGCTGAACAAGGGTCTTTTGCTCATGTTTGGAATCGTTTTTTCCACTGGACAGGCTGGGCCAAGTTTTGACCAAGTTTTTGTTGCTCATTTTTGGAGTAGCTCTTTCCACTGGACAGGTTTGGCCAAGTGTTTGGCTGAACAAGGGTCTTTTTCTCATTGTTTGAATAGTTCTTTCCACGGACAAGCTTGGCCAAGTATTTGGCTGAAGAAGGGCCTTTTGCTTATTTTTGGAATCGTTCTTTCCACTGGACAGGCTCGGCCAAGTGTTTGGCTGAACAATTGTCTCTTGCTCATGTTTGGAGTAGTTCTTTTTACTGGACAGGCTGGGCCAAGTTTTTGGCCAAGTTTTTTCTCTCATTTCTGGAGTAGTTTTTTCCACTGCACAGGCTTGGCCAAGTGTTTGGCTGAACAGCGGTCTGTTGCTCATGTTTGGAGTAGTTCTTTCCACCTTTTACTTATTGTGTGAATAGATCTTTCCACTGGACAAGCTTGGCCAAGTGTTTGGCTGAACAAGGGTCTTTTGCTGCTTATTTTTGGAGTAGTTCTGGACAGGCTGGGCCAAGTTTTTGGCCAAGTTTTTGTTGCTCATTTTGGAAGTAGTTCTTTCCACTGGACAGGCTTGGCCAAGTGTTTGGCTGAACAAGGGTCTTTTGCTTGTTGTCTTAATAGTTCTTTGGACCCCTTTGCTTATTGTTTGAATAGTTCTTTCCACTGGACAAGCTTGGCCAAGTGTTTGGCTGAAGAGGGGTCTTTTGCTCATTTTTGGAATCGTTCTTCCACTGGACAGGCTGGGCCAAGTTTTTGGCCAAATTTTTGTTGATCATTTTTGGAGTAGTTCTTTCCACTGGACAGGCTTGGCCAAGTGTTTGGCTGAACAAGGGTCTTTTGCTTATTGTTTGAGTAGTTCTTTCCACTGGACAAGCTTGGCCAAGTGTTTGGCTGAACAAGGATCTTTTGCTCATGTTTGGAATCGTTCTTTCCACTGGACAGGCTTGGCCAAGTGTTTGGCTGAGGAAGGGTCTTTTGCTTATTGTTTGAATAGTTCTTTCCACTGGACAAGCTTGGCCAAGGGTTTGGCTGAAGAAGGGTCTTTTGCTCATTTTTGGAATCGTTCTTCCACTGGACAGGCTGGGCCACTTTTTTGGCCAAGTTTTTCTTGCTAATTTTTGGAGCAGTTCTTTCCACTGGACAGGCTTGGCCAAGTGTTTGGCTGAACAAGGGTCTTTTGCTTATTGTTTGAGTTTTTTTTTTTTTTGGACAGGCTTGGCCAAGTGTTTGGCTGAACAAGGGTCTTTTGCTTGTTGTCTGAATATTTCTTTCCATTGTACAAGCTTGGCCAAGTGTTTGGCTGAACAAGGGTCTTTTGCTCATGTTTGGAATCGTTCTTTCCACTGGACAGGCTGGGCCAAGTTTTTGACCAAGTGTTTTTGCTCATTTTTGGAGTAGCTCTTTCCACTGGACAGGCTGGGCCAAGTTTCCGTCTGAACAAGGGTCAGCCCGGCCTTTTTTCTCGCTGAGGATTGAATGCAGCTCGGCAAGAAGCCGCGCAGTGGAAGCAGAGCCCCGGCCTTTGCAGTGAAACGTCGCATCGTTTCGTGTCAACATGCAAGGACTGCAGGCTGCTGAACGCCAGGCAAAGGCAGAGGCTCGGTGGCGAAGGGTGTGGTCGCAAAACCGTGTCCTTTCAAATGACTTGGGATTTATGGGGTCAAGGGGGTATATGCAATTGAGCATGTTTTCGCATGATGACTTGGGAGTAATTCACCCAGCCATTTGCACCCAGTATAACCAGCTGCCTGCCAAGTCGGTGGCGGGCTGGCACAGCTCTGTTGGCCAAAAACATGTGCGCAAGGCTGCCAGCAAGACTCTACCTGCCACCTGACATGCGCCTTGGGGATTTGTCCCTTTGCCAATGAGAAACTTGTGCGCAATCCTTTTGCGCTCCGTTCGAAAGGTGCGCTCGCTGATGGCGCTTCGGTGCTTGCCCCTGACCCCAGGAGGTGGCGACACGACGAGAGGTTTTTGCTCAGGGGGGCTAGAAGGGCTCAAGGGTCTCCAGATGCCCAATTTGTCGACCAAGGACTTGACATGGGCTCGATGTTCTGAGCGCTTGCCCTTTCAAATTTCGGCCATCCAGCCATTGTCCATGTTGTGGACCAGAAGACATGAGGAGGCTCTTGAGACAGACTCAGGCACAGGCATCGCTTATGACCGCACCATTTTGCATGATTTGGTGACGAGCGGAGACTGCAGATTACTCAGCTCAGGCTAGCTTGGCGCTGGCTGCTTGGACAGGACGCTCTCATTTGCGCAGTCAAATGACCTGCTTATTTGAGAAGCGCCCAAAACCTCAAGCGAAGATTTGAGACCCGGCTCCTCACAGCATGCTGCCGCGTAGGCTCGCATAAGCTTTGGTAAAACTAGTGCCGCGTCTCTGAGGAATCTCTGGTTTGATGATGAGGAATCTCTGGTTTGATGATTCAACGAAGCTCTTGTTTGAGCACTTCGCGTATCTAATACACTTGTACTAAACTGTGCGAGCTGGAGCTGCCAAATTCAGCTTCCCGCACCAGACTCGAAGGCTGCGCCGCGTAAGCTGTGTGTAAGTGCTTTGCGAGAACACGCGATGGGCTCGCATAAGCAAAACCCGCGGTGGCGTAAGACCCGGAGGTTTCGCGGAAGCAGCAGCCAGTTGAATCAAACGTCAGGTTTCGGGCACCGTTGGTAGGGACGGTCATCGACCCTCACTGGGGGTTCAGCGGCAAGAATTCTTATTGAGGGAACCGCGACCCACATGAGCCACAATCAAAACCGGGGTAGATGAAGGTTAGCAAGGGATGCTCCCAACCATAAATAGCTGCGGCCGCCTTCTTAATTGTTTGCATGGTTCTGGGTAGACCATTTGAATACCTGGTTTTGATTATGACCCACATGCGGAGGTCTTTTTGCCATAGCACACTTGCTCGATTTGAGGCGTGACTGCCAGGATGAGCAGCCTCTTCTGGAAGCTCACCTCGAGAGCAACGAGAGGTGCCTGCGAGTTTTAGAGGCGCCTCTGCCAAGACGCCTCTATGATGCTGTGGCTGTGGGTTTTTGAAGGCACCCCCAAGCCCCGAACTGGCTTAAAGGAAGCCAATGGGATGCCGTTTCCCTGTGAGAAGAACCTAACACTGCCACGGCCAGAACTTTCTGCCAGGGATGGGCTGCGGGCCTGCAGGCAGAGTTCCGCATGTGTAGCTCTGTTCAAGAGATCAGAGAAGATGGGTATAGGTCAAAACTACACTGCCAGGGGACCGCAGGTTTTAGTCCTTGTTTCCATTTACCAGGGTTCTATTTTGAATACCTGTTTTTGACCCACACCCAGATAACAGACGTTCAGAGAGAGGCTTGGACATTAACTTTTCCTACCTCACGTGTCTTTTGCTTTCTCGGGGTTGGCTTTGCTCAGCTCTGCCAGTCTTCAGTGCTTCGAGTGTGCTATCGCGCCTGGGCTCGCTTGTGTGGTGCTCAGCGAGATCAAGGCATTTGCCGTGCAACGGCACGCTCAGTTTGGAAATGCCCTATGAGCCTACGCAAACTGGCGAGGCAAATGCGTCCAGCAGCACAGGCCTTCTCCACTTTCGACAGCATTGCGTACCCCGGAGCTAGTATTCTATTGTCAC